CAGCTGTGGAAATGAAGAGTTTGTCAGTTTGCAGAAAATTCCTGTGGTTAAGCAAGACATGGTACCTAAAAACAGGGTAAACAGTGGCTCTGTGAAGAAGTCTTGAGTCCTTTTTCCATGAGAATTCCAGATCTGGTTCAACTTGAGTAAGTCTTGTATTCTTTAGAGTCTGGTATGCCTTAAGCATAGTGCTCATTGTTAAATTTTACATATTTAAAAAATTTTCATTGAATTCTTAATAGTCTTCCACTTGGCAGAATGTTTCTGAAATGTTTTTCACTTGGGGAAAGGCCTGAGAGAGGGACTGATCGAGGGGAGCCAGATTTCAGCCTCTAAGCAATTGGTTCTTCATGCATGTTTCTCCCCCACCCCATGGGAGAAGGGAAGTGCACTGCCTTTTCCTTTGTCACCTTTAAATGTCCCCTGTTTGCCTCTATGAAACCCCACCAACCAGCATCTTGAAGGAGCCCCCTTCACAAACCGCTTTTCTTTTTGCTTTTCTGCTGTATTTGCCTTCTTCCACACCCAGAAAGAAGAGTCACTTGCCCTTTTCATGAATCTACAGATGTGCTATTGCCCTGATCGGGTTCTCTTGGGACTCTCCTACAATCACCTTGGCCATTGAAGCAACATTCTTTTATGGAGGCTTGGTTTTGTTGCATTTCTATTTATTCTACTTCATCGCTGTCCCTCACCCCAGCTCTCCTGCTCCTAACAATGTTGGCAGGAGAATGCGTAGTGGTAAGAAAAAAAAGTTGGGGATCCAGACCTATTGCAAACTGGTTTATTTTGGAGGAAGCAGGAGATGACAGCCTAACATTGTGTTGAGTGAAATAGGAAACACATAAAGAGTTGAATAATAGTATCTGGGAGATCTCATTTCTAAAACTAAAAAATCTTGTGAAAGTAGAGAAAACTCCATGATACAAGAGAAAGTTAAAAAAAAAAACTATTTGGTTAAGAAACACTAACTTGCTAGTACTACTTATTGAAAGACCACTCATTCATTCTAGGAATATTCTTGTTTCCCCCCATTTGTGCTTTAAGAGAATGTATAAACTTGGGATTTTTAAAATTTCTTGAAAATGTGCTATCTTTGCTGATTCGGAGGAAATTCTTACAAAATCAGAATATTCTCGCAAAGAAAATTTGATTCTTAATTGTAGAGATCTAAAATCTTGACCACGCCACAAATATTTAAATCGAAGCAGAGAACATTAATTAGTCTTTGGCAAGGTTTAAAATGAGCGAACAGACCCCAGCTACTCACTTCCATGATGCTACCTTTAGTGATAAACAATTAAACTCTGCCTTTTGGGTTGCAGATTGTGGGAAATGCAAAGAAAATTGGATGTAGTTCACTCTTGCTACACAAACCAGCACCCCCAATATGCCCCGTAAGAAAAGAGCTTACCACTTTGACAAAAAGTAGGCGACAGGAGCATTACTCCAGCAGCAGCAAAGATGAGGGCTTTCATCGTGGTGACCTGAGTCCCGTTTCCCAGCTGTTATTAAATATATAGAACTAGAGAGCACAGTTCCACCTCAGTCTCCTGCATTAAGAGCAAATGGAAGCCTTGGTCTCTGCTTAAGAGTGTGCTGTCCTGGGCTCCGCAGACTGGGAAACTTGCCCAGGTCCTCTGGAGGGAAAGGGTGTGACGGTACTCATGTTACAGTGCGCATGACTCAGGCTGAGCTCTGAGCACATTACCTTGTCCCCAGAGAAAATCATTTAACTCTTAACCCACCCCTAATATAACAATCCATTCTGAGTAGATGCTGTAATTCCCAACCAGTGTACTTCTGCGCATGGAAAGAATGTAGGTAACATACAGCCCTTTCCAGAAGTAAATTGAGAGTAGATGTCAAGTAGCAGTCGGTTTTGACTCTGTAACATATCTCAATTTTATCCATTTAAAAAACACAGTCCCACATGTCATTTCCACAGTAACTGAGCTGTCAGAATTTATCCTTTCCTTATCCTCCCAGCTCTTTCAAATCTTAATTCTTAAACTCTTTACATAATTATAAATGAAATGAATCATGGAAAGCAAGCATTTCTTAGGAATTTAAGTGTAAGAGCTTGATTACTTTGAAAATTCTCCATCAGTGTCACATTGGTCTGAATTTGTCATCTCTCCTTGGCCAGACTTGGTATCATGGTGTTTGATTTTGCCATAACTCAACATACTTGTTGGTTCATCTGAAGTGATGATACAACATTGAAATGCAGAGAGCTCTCTCTATTCTGTGGTTTTTGGTGAGCAGGCCTATAATAAGCTTTTTTCTTTAATTGTGGCAAAATAGGTGTAACATACAATGGACCATCTTAATCATTAAGTGTCCAACTCAGTAATGTTTAAATATGATCACATTGTTGCACAACATATAAGCCTTAGTGAGTAGTTATTTCCCAGAGGATATGATTTAATGTGCAGTTAAAAAAAAAAAAGCATTGTCGATGATTTTTCTGTAATTAACACAACTTAAGTGTAAACGCCAAGCCAAACAATCCAACTGCATGTTGCATATAGAATGGGGCAAGAATCAGAAAATTCAGGTTTCACTTAAGACTTACAGGCTGAGGGATAAGCCAGGAAGGAATTGATCTGTGTAAACTTTGCACACTTGATTAAATTATGTCACCGGAATTTTACAATCAAAAGTCAATGTCTGGGGTGCCTGGGTGGCTCGGTGGGTTAAAGCCTCTGCCTTCAGCTCAGGTCATGATCCCAGGGTCCTGGGATCCTGGGATCGAGCACCGCATCGCATCAGGTTCTCTGCTCATCAGGGAGCCTCCTTCCTTCTCTCTCTCTGCCTGCTTCTCTGCCTACTTGTGATCTCTGTCTGTCAAATAAATAAATAAAATCTTTAAAAAAAAAAGCCAATGTCTGGTACTTCAACTACATAACATATGATAACAGAAGCTGAGACTTGAAAGCTGTTTTATTGTAGCAGTAAAAACCAAAATGCCACAAAATAGTGAAAGGGGTACTTTTTTGTTTAATTAAAATTGTCTAGAATTCATCTAAATTCAGGAATTGATGTCTTGATTTACAGATGACCCAGCTTCTCGTAACTTAATCCATTTGTAACTTATATGTTGAAGCTCTTTAGCTAGAGGTAGGGTCCTTACCATCCTATAAATATAGTTCCAGACTTCTAGTGGGCAATTTAAAAGGAGACCTTAAACTGGTGGGATTCAGTTTTTACTCCTGGTTTTGTATTTAACCCTAGCATCCTTTAGTGTAACGAGTCATGATTTAAACTGCTGACTTAAATTAATTTGATTTGTCAAGTTTCTCTTTGGTGTGTCTGATAAAACAGATACTTTAAGGTTTGAAGTGGGATTGTTAACTTCCTTCTCATCTGGGCAAAGTTTGTATGGTGTATCTTCTACAGCGATAAGTTATGAAGGAATTTGGTAAATGCTCTTCAAAAAAAATGGAAACACATAAATGAACTCGCATGCATGGAACATAGTTTTTAGGCTGTACTTGGGAAGAGTGTTTCGGTTTTCTTTGACTTTGGAAACAGAAAGAAAACAGCTCCTACTCCCCGGTCTCTTCATTCTTCCTATAGTCTTCAATTTCCTGTCTTGCTTTCTGTTTGAATCCTTCCCGTCCATTCTCTTAAGAAATGGAGACTCTTGCTAACAGGTGACAGTTCACATGTGACAGAGCTAGCTAGCTAGACATGATTGCAGAAGCAGGTGCCAGGCCTGGTCTCCATTAGCCCAGATGTTACAGGCTAAAATAAGAGATTCTTTGTCTCATTTTCATAATGCTTTCCACAAACATTATCTCAGGTTAGTTTCTGAGGGTGATAGTATTGAAGCCTGCCAGAAGAGCTGGTAAATGTTATTTCTCCTTCTACAACCCACCTATCCATCAGGAGTCCAAAATGCTGGAGCTGGTTCTCCATAGCTCTGATGAACTACTTTCTGTTCATCACAGCCTTAGTATTTCCTTGTAATCTTGGGCAAGTTTATTATATCCCTGATCACATTGTATAATTATTTTTAGATAAATTTATCTTTTCTACTAAATTGTTAGGTCCTTGAGGGTTCTTTGAGGGTTCTTTGCCTTATTTTTGTCTCTCTGTCTGATAAATGGTGTTGTATTTCCCTGAAATTTAAAATACCTTATGGTACCCAGGGTCACCTTGGGTACCACAGTTAGTGATTAAGAGAGAGGATGCAGAGAAGGCTTTTGTGGAGGAGGTGGCATTTGAATTAAGGCCTGAATGGTCAGAAAGCATCAACAACCCACACAGCCAGGATGCCTGGCTCTGAAGGAGGCTGGTGTGCAGGTCTGGGCCAGGCAATAGAGGACTGGGAGTGAAGCCAGAGGGGTCAGAGGGGCTAGATTGTTAGATCCCCACAGTCCCCGGGAAGCCACTTTTGTTTTTTCCTCCATGCAGGGGAAAACCTGTGGAGGAGTTTAAGCAGAGGGATCGTCCAGTGAGATGTCCGTTTTGAAGACAATATCTGCTTCTCTGTAGAGGACCACTGTGGTAGAGGGCAGTCTTGGAAGCCAGAAAAACAGATAGACCAGGGGCGCCTGGGTGGCTCAGTGGGTTAAGCCTCTGCCTTTGGCTCAGGTCATGATCTCAGGGTCCTGGGATTGAGCCCCACATTGGGCTCTCTGCTCAGCAAGGAGCCTGCTTCCCCCTTTCTCTCTGCCTGCTGCTCTGCCTACTTGTGATCTCTTTCTGTCAAATAAATAAATAAAATCTTAAAAAAAAAAAAAAACAGACCAATGCACCCATCCAGGTGGGAGATGATAGTAGGCTGGACTGAAGGGGTGACAGTAGAGAAGGAAGAAGAGGTTGGATTTGGGGGTTATTTCGTTAGTAATTTGTACAGTGTACAGCAGTGCTTGGTAGGTGCTGGCTCAGACTTTTTAGAAACTGTAAAAATGGGCTCCTGAAAAGCAGTTCTAGATTCTGTTTCATCATGATTCACTGTTCTTTCTTTTATTCTCTGACAATATTCCCAGGACCCTGAGAGTGTTTCCAAAGTTCTTTGGCTGGATGAAATACAGGATGCAGTCAATGAGGCCAACATGGACAACGACAAAACAAAACAATGTAAGCCCTCATCTCCTTTTGCCGGCCCCATGTGCCTTGCTGGTTAAACCACTGAGTTGTTTTTTATTCAAGTAATTTTTAAAATTATATTGTTTTAATATCTGAAAAGATTTGGATCCTTAGCAATTTCAGTGCTTGCGTGTATATAGAAAAATAAGATTCACTGGTGGTGGCACTATTTTCAGTGATTGGGTGCTAACTCTAGCGAAATCTGAGGATGTTGCTGAACAAAATCTAGAAAGCAAAAAATGGTTTCTAAACTCTCAAATTTATAGTGTGATCAAGCCCCTTTTTTATCTTGATCCTTAGGAAGCTAGCCCCGTCTGCTTAGTAAATGTCTCTCCTCCCTTCCGTGCTTTCCATCGTATTAGTCAGGATTTTCCAGAGAAAAAGAACTACATATATATTTTCATCTGGAAAAAAAAAATAGAGCTACATATATAGTCCTGTATCTGTGTGTATCTGTGTATGTGTAGATAAATAGTTGTTCCTCTGGAAAGTATGTAGTATGTATATATACACATAGAGAAAGAAAGAGGAAGAGGGAGATTTATTTTAAGGAATTGGTTCATGCTGTTGTAGGGAGCCTGGCAAGTCCAAAATCTGTGGCAGGCCCCAGAGGCCAGATGGCAGCATTTAATCACCAAAGGCAAGTGGGTGTGGTTGCTGTAATGGACAGCAGAGCCAAAGCCGTCATCAGAATAATCCCACTCATAGAGACCAGTCAAATTGGCTGATTGACCACGGTGTTCGTAGAAATGAAACAAACTGTCTCCTAAATTCATACTTGGTTTGTACAAGTGGAAGAAGAGTTCTAGGTCAAATGAACAGAAGTGTAACTTGAATAACAAGAGCAGAGAGTCATGGCCCCTCCATCAGTCCCATACCTAATCATTTACAGACCAAGAGCCCCTTGAATGAAGGGGAGACCAGGTCCTCTTGAGAACGAACTGCTACACTATCAAAATTTTACACAATTCATCTTTCTTCCAGGCTTCCCCTAAAGAGGTCTTCAATCTTTGACTGTGGTGGCTGGCCAAGGGGAAAGCACACCGTTAGACTTTTCAGGGATTACGGGACACTGGCTCTGAATGGACACTAATACCAGGAAACCCAAAACATCCCTGTGACCCACCAGTCAGAGTAGGGGCTCACAGAGGTCAAGTGATCAGTGGGATTTTAACTCATTCTTTCTCCCAGTAGGTCCTCAAACCAGCCATGATTCCTTCTGCAGCTATCGAACACCTAAATGGAATAGACATAATCCACAAATGGCCGAATCCCTTCATTGGCTCAAATGATTAAGCTTTTAATTTTATTCTAAATCTCTCTTTTCATAGAGGAATAGTATGAAAAATCACATGGCGTTCTAAAGTAGCTTCAAGAATGATACACTAGCACTCTACATATACAAATAACCTACCTAAATGAAGATTCCTGAAAGTGTTATTCATTAACCTGTCCATTCATGGCATAATTAGGATGTACCCTGTTGTATCAGGTCATAGGATGCTGTTGAGATGCCTGAGTCTTGCCCCCAAAGATGTGCTTTTAAACTTTGGAAGCCTCCCTGGGGGAACATCTGGTTTTTATTTCCTCAGCCTGGAAAAATATGTGCATTTCTCCAACCTGAATTTTTATACCCTTAGGGTCTTTGAAGTCTTTCTGTTCTAGCACTCTAATCCTTAAGAAAAAATAAAATGAACTTGAGATGTGTCCATAAGAAATTTAAATTTAAATATAAACCTGAAGGAAGCCATAGTTTGAAGAAATGCATTTAAAAAATAAGGTGGTAAAAATAGACACTCAAACAGCCGTTTCAGGTTCCCCCTTTTCTCTTAGAAATCAAACCAATTTAGAAGTCCTTTCATTCATTTTATTCATGTTCTTCCTACCTGTGGCCTAAAACTGTGAAGTTGGTTCTGTTTTCCCCCATTGAGACCCTCATGGTTCTACTGACTCTGCAACCCAGAGGCTCTCTCAAATACGTGTGACGGTCCACTCCAGACCCACACATTTAAAATCCTGTCTTCCACCTCAGTCCTGTACCTCAGAAGAATAAACATAGTATCTTCTACAACAAAAAGATGTTCTGAAGTAAAACCTTCTATATTCTCACATCAAGATGAGAATTTGCCAGTTTGTCGAAAAGGAGTTTAATCTTACCTTTAAAAGCATTCTTCATCCTTCGTATGAAGGCTTGAAACAGATCCTTGTTACATGTTGTAAGCTTCAAACCCACTCCCAGGTAGTCTGGGAAAAGTGTTGCCCTATGTGTTTTACCACAGACAGGACTGAAAAGGGCAGAGTGACTCAAGTCTCCTACGTTTGGGCCCATGTTCATGTCCACTGGAGACCCATGCTTTCTTAAAGTAGGTCTGTCTCCACTTTTGACTCCTGAGAGCAGTATTTCCCAAACTTCTCCCATTATTGTATCGCAAGGAACCTTTTTAGGTAGATTTTCCCTGAGTACTTCCCACCATGAAATTTGAATATCACAGATCTATTGTGTTTCTATTCATGAACCACAGGTAGGCCTATACTTTCTACACAAAAAAGATGTTTTGCCCCATCCCCCCCACCAAGAACCAATTTTTTTGCCCTTCTAGGGATTATTTTACCTCTTGGGAGAGAATACGTGCCTTAGAGAAAGACCACCGGTATATGGCCTAAGATATAACACAAAGCATTCTTCTGGGTCTCTTAGGAGATTAATGGGAGTTTTCTTAATTTGTTCCGTATCACCAACATACCTGACTTTATGTAGACCATTTATCTGACATCTTCAATTATCTGGAGCTAAACCATATCCCACAGTTGAAGCAAAAAAGGAATCAAAATCCATGTCTCAAAGCCTGTGCCCTGGACCTGGTTTCCTCTGCTTGTTGAGGACCCCTGGGAGAGATAACTGGAGCTATGTGTTCTCATCTTGGGCAAAACACTAACTAGTTCAGTGATATCTCTGCACAGCTCAGAGCACATCAGGCAGTGAGGTGTTGGCTGCTCTGTGAGCGCACAAGGCAGCAAGAGGAGAACTGGCAAGACAGGAGGGGACAACGAAAAGGCAGAGGAGTTTTAGGCCACTTTAGTGCAGGAACAAAGAACCCCAAACACACCTCCATAGTACTTGAACTACAATAAATAATATTTATTAATACCACTCATGGTATTTATTATAGCACAGTAGAATGACAGGAAGGACTCTTCTGGCAGCACTCAGTAAACACTAAGCACCTACTGTGTACCAGGGACTGTAGATAAAATGATGAGCAGGAAGAGACACTGTTCTCTTAGGATTTTCTCCAGGGCTTTAGATTTTTTACAGAAAATGGTTCTTTTAAGAGGAGGAGTATGCTTTGGTTACCTAGAAAATGAACCTGTTGGGCCCCTACTTGCGGGTCAGCACTTGATGATACAGCAAATTTCTAGTGCAAGAAATGTGTGCCTCTATTCTACCCATCTTTTAAGAAATATGCCGTTCTACTGGGTTAGGTGAAGCTGTCAGATATAATTCATGTGAGAATTCTTTGTCATTTACTTGTTCCTTCTGCTTCTCTGAGACCACAAACCTCTCGAACACTAGGACTGCATTTGTCCCATCCTTGAAAGCTTTCCTGGAGAGGAGGAAAGGGGAACTGTTGGTCTATTCCTATTAAGTCCTACAAGCACAAGAGCACACTGCTGGGCCTTTTGTTCTGCAGCAGTTGAAATTTGCTACAGAAGTTCTTGATGCTGTACATAAAGTCAAACTCCACTTTTCTTGCCCCTCCAGCTTTCATACTTCCACAAACATGAGAACGTAATTCAAGGACATCAGTATAACATGAAGCATGTGTACGGTTGAGTTTGACATGTGCATGTTTGAAAGAGAAAGAATATCCATCTCTCCCCCTTTTCATCAAAAACTTTGTCTACAAAGTATTTTAACCTGGTTTCTTCCATTGTTTGTTCTAGATTTCTAACTCAGTGCATTGATGGTTTGTGAAAACAGTACTCTCATTGGTTGGGCCAGAATATTCTCAGCTGGAACAGAAGAGGATAATAAAGAATACACCATGTTAACCTTGTTTAGACAATGAAGAGTTCAGTGTGGTTTGATTTGGGGGGAGAGGCAGAAATTTAAAATGGGATAAGATGTTTCCTAGGTCTAAACTGGCTCCAGAACCAAGTCGATTGCATATGTCCACCAGCTGTACCTGTTGCCTTTCTAGAACGTTTGTTTAGGTTGTTAATGACAGATCTTGTGAAGTATACTAGTGCTATGCAAGAGAACATCAGGACTTTTACTTGTTCTAAAATAAATGTCTTCATAAGATTAGTTCTCAAATACTGATTGATGACCTATGTCAGGACTGCATATCTACTGTCACCACTTATAGAGCACTAGAGTAAGTAGGACCTAGTGCTTCACACCACACGAGAGTAACCTGGACACACCACAATTTTCAATAAACCACATTTCTGTGGGGCTGTGGACACACCACAATTTTCAATAAACCACATTTCTGTGGGGCTGTGTTCTTACAACCTAAACTGGTAGGTGAGTTGGTAACTGTCATGGGTATATGCGTTGCATACTCTGAAAGGGGAAAAAGGTTTATTGCCAATGCATTCCTGAAAGGTTAAATTATATCTTTACACGCCTCTAAGCTAAGTAGAAGATAACCATTAACAGAAACCTTTTTTTTCATGATGCAGGGGTCACACTGGTCATTGATGTTAATCAGTGTCTGGAGAAAGAAAAGCCAAGTGATATTCTGTCTGTTTTAAAGTCTTCTATGTCTAACACAAATGATGTAATCCCTGAATGTGCTGACAAGTACTACGATGCCCTTGCAAAGGCAAAAGAGAACAAATCTGAAAGTGGTAAGCTTTTTAGTCCTTAGCGCCAACTAAATATCGTTTTGAATATGATGCTGTCTCTGGTCTTGTATTAGTTTTAAAACAAATACTGCTTTCAGATGAACATTTCTAAAATGCTTTTTTATCTTGGGATCCTGGGTGGCTCAGTGGGTTAAGCGTCTGCCTTCTGCTCAGATCATGATCCCAGGGTCCTGGGATCAAGCCCTGCATGGGGCTCCCTGCTCAGCGGGGAGCCTGCTTCTCCCTCTCCCTTTACCTCTCCCTTGGCTTGTGCTCTCACTCTCTTTATCAAATAAATAAAATCTTTAAGAAAAAAATTTTTTTATCTTGATAAAGAAAAATTTTTAGACGTGGCCTTTTTTTTTTAAAGCTTGGATTAACTTGGCTATGCATGGGTGCTTTCATAAACTTGAGAAATACAGTATTTAAGGAGATTATTCTTTATCTAGAGTTTCCTTGTTGATCCATTTCTCTAGTGATACAAACTGATTTTTAAAAAAATAATGTGTAATTATTACAGAAAATCAAGCCAATACAAATAATTAAGAACAACTGTTAACTCCATAGAAACAATGCTAGTGAGAGTTTAGTTATATTCTTTTTACTCTGTCTTTCTGCTGAGTTACCTAGATAATATCAATCTGTTCATTACTTTGAAAAATAAAATTGGGATTACCTATATCCTTCCTTTTTTTTTTAATATATAGAGAGCATATTTCTACATTGACCTGTTTCTCTTTATTCTTTTTGAAACAAATGGTAGATGATTGCACAGTCTTGAGTAGGAGTAAAGAGTAATTTTGAACATGTGAAATAAAGTAGAGTGAACTGGTCTCCAAGGGACCAGATCCATAACCTCAGCAAGTGTTTGTGCCCATTCAATCCAATGACAGACAATGAAGTGTTAGCTCTGGAAAGTATCCTTGAGATCATGAGCCTGAAACTCATTTCTCAGATTTGGAAACACATTCTAAGATTGTAGTCAGAGGAAGCCCATGACAAACCCAAAGCGGTTAATGCTTGATAGTCCGCATACTGTTCCTTTAGTAGATTGTTACTGAGAACCTCGTGTCCTGTCAAGGATCCGGGTGTCTCTTGACTCAGAGGCTGCACCACATCGTAGGTCTTAGACTTCTTCTTCTTTAAGAAGCTACTGTGACAGTGTATGGCCTAAGAAGTAGAATTGGAGGGGAAAAGGGTGAGTTTTTTTTTATTGTTCAGCTGGAAGACTTTCCCATAGTACCCTATGTACTTTTAAGTTTACCTGATGTCTTTCCAACCCAGAGATTGCACCCTTCAATTCAGCAAATTGCCCGTTGATGAAGTGTGAAGAGGGCTATTGGCCATTCTTTCTTACCTGGCATCTGATTGCCCTTTCCCTTTCCATTCCCTTCATATTTCTTCATTCAGAGTCACTGTAATGTCCCCTACCTCATCCTTCATGGAGAAAGACTTGTACAACAGTATTAATGCAGGGGTTAAGTTCAGGTTCAAGTCCATCTTCTGTCCACTACCCTTGCCTGCTCCTCTTCCTTTATGCCATGTTCTGGTGCATGTAGTCATATATCCCCAGATTCCCAATTCAGAAACCCAGGAGTTACCTTAAATCCATAATGATTACTTATGATCATCCTAATTTGACTGTACAATGTGTGTTCTAGTAGGCCAGTATGTCTACACAGATAACAGGTGTCTGACTGCCCATTTGCAAAGAGATACATCTCTTTTCCTGGGCAGTAACAAACAGAACAGTTGAGGAGCACTTAAAACCAAGTAAATACATAATCAAAACACATTCAAGGGCCTTGAAGTTACCTCTGCTGAGTTATTTGAGTCCATTTAAATATTCTGTAAGGAAATTCACTTGAACTTCGATTTCCCTATAAAGATATTTAGTCTAAGGCTCACTTGACAGCAGTTGGCTTAGACTGATCAAGGTCAGATCATTTTTATGTTTATTTTTGTTGCTGTTTTTAGCTTGCTGGTCTGGGACAGGAATCGTGGCCATTCAACAAAATAAACAGATTTCTAAATATGAAATAAAGCCCATGGATTCATGAGGTGGAGATGCTCTTCTTAACTAATGAAGCCATGAGTGCCATAGATTATTTTTCTAGTACATCCTTCCCCCCAAATTAAGTCCTTTCTGCAATTTTTTTTCTCATTTTGTATGGTTGGGTGGAACAAGGTGAGTCAAACCAGGACATTTTCCTTCTCCCTACTTACTTTACCTTAGATAAAGTTGTCTGCAAAGATGAGTCACTTCTCTGTTGGTTTCATGCAGATCATTGGCTTTCTCTACATAATGGGTCACAGTCCTTCCAGGTCACTCCTTCTCAGAGAAGTTGCTGGGAGACTTCCTAAGCAAAGAAGATTCTTGCTTGTTGGTCTCCTCTGTCCTTTTGTCGTGCTGTTCATATCTACCAGGGACACATATTCTTTGTTTGCTTTTCCTTCTTAATGGCCATTTGTGACTCCTCTCCTCATGAGAAATTTGAGGTCCAGAGCCCTAGCATTACACATCCCTCTGTCCTCCTCTTGATTTGGCTGAGTTGAGAGCTTCCATTGAATACATAGAATTCACTCCATTTAATGAATCATTTCTCATTATTTTAACTTAGGCCATCAAAATGCTTGATGGAAAATTGTTTATTAGATCATTTTACATATTGGAGAAACTACATTAGTGTTCAAGGTTTCAGTGTTTCTCTCTGGAATGTAACAAACTTCTTTTTTTAGTGTCTACTGAAGGTTCCTGGCTCAAATTCAGCCTGCAGGATAAATATGAGTACTACTACAACATCGATTCAAAGGAGAGTTCCTGGGTCACACCTGAACCATACTTGCCTAAAGAATCATGGCTCACGAAAAAAGAAATTGAGGTAGGAGGTTCATGTTTAATGAAACTGTACTATGAAAAAGTAAGTGTGATTGCTTTTCTGTTTTTGGATCATGGAAGTGATGGGAGGAAATAACTGATTTATTAAAGCCTGGATATAGAGTAAAATCTTCATAAATGCAGTTGTATATGGCTGCATGGCTGCTAACTTTTACAATTATTTCCATATTAGCATACCACCACCAGACCGAGCAAGGGGATGAAAGCTTTTGTAGCTTGTTTGGAATGGTCCATTATCCTAAGAAATCAATCTTCAGGTTTGCCTTGACACAAAAGCTCAATTAGTAATAATTAATTGGTTGTCAGTATTTGGAAAGTCTTATTCTTTCCCCCTCACAGCCTACCACAGAGATACATACGACCTTTAAAAAGTCAGTAATGCTTTATGGGGGAAAATACTCTTGAAAAGAAGTTCACAAGATGTCTTTGGACTTGAGACCAAAGTTGGACCCACAAGAAGTGAAAATTTCTGTTTGAACCATGGATTATAGTATATTTAAAGAGAAAATACTAATAATAATTTAGTTCCATTTTGGAAAAAGAAAAAAGAAAGGAAGAGCACACAAATGTAGGTCTTACAAAGTTCTTCAAAGTTGCCAGCATCAAAAATACTGCAGTATAGCAAGTTTGAGGATCAAATCACCATTATGATATTTGCTAAAACTCAGAGAAAAATCTGTGGCCTGGACTGACAGGCCCACCAGAAATCATGAATGATGAGAAGACAGTGAAGAGAAGATAGTTAATTAACTAATTTCAAATATCCAAGATTGTACAATTTACAAGAAAATACTCTGGTGGCAGTTCATCATCGGGGCTACTTGTTAGAAAAATGAAACTGTGGACAATATTTAAAAACCTGATGCTGTAGTTGAAAAGACATATCAAACTGTGAAGAAGCAGCATCAGAGTGTTATAATTTGAAGCCAACAATTACTCCAGTGGTGTCCAAAGATGCCTTGGGAGTAACTTTGTGAAACTGAGCATCATTCTGTTAGGATTACTAAAAAGTGGAAGGTCTACGTTGTTAAAAATATATATATATTTTTTTCTCCAGACAATCTAAAAGTACTGATTTCATGAATGTTAATATGTGATCTTTTAAAGGTTTTTAAGCATTTTTTGTGATGTCAGTTTTAATTGTTTAAATTAGCCCCCCATTCCCCACGGAATGAGAGGCACCAGCCAATAGACGTGAGTCCAGTCTTGGCTTGCATCTCTCAGAGAACATAAAAAGCAAACCCAGTTCGTAATCCACAGAAAAACTTTTCACAGTCCCCCCTTCTCCTTTTTCCACATTCATTCTCATTCAGACAGGGTTTCCCCTGTCTGGCCATGATAGCCTGTCTCTCCTCTCCCATCCCTTTTCCTTCTGCCCCAAGTCTTTTATCTTCCCCCAAGTTTATTTGGAGCTGCTCCAGGCTCATTGCAGAGGTCTGCCTACTGTGGCCTGGACAAGAAATGGGGCAGAGGAGCCAGAAGACTTCATGGCCACTGCAGTCTTTCCCTTGGCAGCCCTGGGGAGGGAGGAGTTTATATGTAAGCCTATTTCTACTGCTACCATCCTTGTCCCACTTACACTGTGGAGCTCCGGCCTCACACCTGGTCCTTGCTGGCACCTCTGCCTCCAGATTCTGAGGTCACTCAACCAAATTCTCAGAGCACCTCCGCTCCAAGTTCAGAAGATTCTAAAACATGTTGCTAGGAAGAAGCTAAGTCAGTCCATCCCTGGTTCTGGTCAAATCTCCTTTTAAACCAGGCCAGAAAGAGTTTTCCATATCATTTTCTCTGAGATATAATCTCCAGAAGCTTTTCTCTATGCTGCTTTCACCTGATGTGTGAAGTGTAACCATAAGAAATATCTCTTGCCAGGACATTGTTGAGAAAGTCACAACAGATTATGTCCGTGAGAAGGTGTGGTCTGCGTCTGGTGATTTGCTTCTTCGCCTTCAAGCCACAAGTGCAGGATCCCTTCTTAAGAAAGAGTACGAAGCTAGGAAATCATATTTGTATGAACAAGAAAAGCATGTGGCCAAAATACAGGTATGTCAACCACCTACCACTAGTTAGAGCAAACTGTGCTATCCCCTGGAGATGCTTCATTTGTTAGTTTGCCAGTCAACTTCCAGCATTCCAATTAACAAATCTGACTGCAGATTTCCCCCTTAATCATTGCCCCCAAATCTGGCTTAGTAAGGCTCATCGATAGGAAAGACATTGAATGATTATTCACCTTTGGAGACCATCAAGGGTACTGTGGACTTGCCAAGGTCTGCCTACCACCAACCTAGCTGGAGCCAGAGGGACTCCTCAGATCAGAGTTGAAATCCTGTTTCTCTAAAAAGCTGGATCTCCTTGTGTCATCTACTTTCTATACTAGGTGCTTTATGAATTGGTTTTTCCGTGGCTAGTGCATGTTGAATGGCACCTGTTTCTGTGTTCTTCTAGAAGGAAAGAACAGAAGAGCTGATGAAATGGATTTAGCCTCTCCAAGAAACTCTTCTCCATTACATACTCTTCATTTAGGCCTGCAGGAGAAATCCTTCTTTCCTGCCTGGTTGGTCTTGAGTTCTTAAGCTTGCATGACTCCTCTGAACTTTCTGATTGCCAAGAGAGGGACTGGTCAAATTTAGATGTTTCTCCTCTGTATTTTCCTACCACCCTCCACCAACCACCATGCTGGCTTCCAAAGGGCTGTGTGTCTTTTTTTGTGTATCCAGAGTGATACTGTTATTGACAGACAGCATTTGATGGGTTTTTGCATTGGCCAATAACTAAGAAATTTCCCAAAATGGAAGTTTTTAAGTTGAAGATTCCTCTTTTGTGATCATTGGTGTGCTTACCTGCTTTCCTCATCTAACTATAATATCATCCAGGGCAGAAAATAAAAGTTTTTAAAATTCTTGTATTCTTGTATCTTGTGTATGATAGGTGCTCAAATATTTGAATCTGTTCAGATTAAGATGTTAGAAGGCAGAAATGATTAATTTTTAGAAGAAATTTCTCCCATAAGCTGGACAAAGACGTTTTCTTAGCTTAACCAGTAAGTTTTCCATTTTATTTCTTCTTTAAATAAATGGTAGATAAAACACACAGGAAATTAAAAAAAAACCTGAAGAGAGAATCCTCTACATTGATGCTAAGGCTCTAATTTTACACAGAATTTAAAAGTGTCAGCCAACCTGACACAATTTGGACCAACCCTAAGCTGTCCAGTCTCAGGGCGTGGAGCAGTGTTGTATTTGGAGGACATTCTGTGGAGCACACTGGTATAAAGTCCATCTGATACTGGGACCCAGGGCCAAAGTCATGAGAAGGTTCGGGAGAAGAGCAGAAACTATCATCTGAGCCTTTTTCCTCCATCTCAGCAGACTCGATAAGACTAAAGCAGCCATGGAACTGTGAAGTCACCCTTCCTTCTTTTGTTTTTGTTTTTCCCCTCAACTCTTCTGATGGTTTTTTAATGAGGAGAGCCAGAGGTGTAAAGGCAAGCTATAGACTGGAGAGGAATGCATATTCAGCATAAACTTGCTGACCTACAAAACCAGAAGGTCATGAACCAACGGATATTATGCTACTCTCACTTTTTGTCGATGTGGCCAATTCACCCTGAATTATGGGAATGATCTCAAATGTGAGGACTTCACCTCCATGAAAGAGCTCAACCTTCCTAGCTGGTTCATTAAGTCCCAGATACAGTAGTCTTAACAAATTCAGAGAAAAGGCTCCCAGGCTAAGGCCAGCCCCTCCTCAGTTCTACTCCCCTCGGTCTCCTCCCAAAGAACTGAATAGTGGTAGAGAGAATATATGGCATCATTATCCAGTCCTCTGTCTTGAGTACTTAATGGAATATATCAGAAGGTACCCAATGTGTCTCATGAGAAATTCACTGTCATTCATAGGATTTTTCCCCTGTAAAGTAAGGTGTTCTATCTCTCTCCTTGCAGAGAGAGAGAATCTCTTGAGAACAGTGAGAGAGAAAAAGCCATACTACTTTTTTTAAGATTTTATTTATTTATTTGACAGAGAGAGAGAGAGAGAGAGATCACAGGTAGGCAGAGAGGCAGGCAGCGAGAGAGAGGGAAGCAGGCTCCCTGCTGAGCAGAGAGCCCGATGCGGGGCTCAATCCCAGGCCCTAAGATCATGACCTGAGCCAAAGGCAGAGGCTTAACCCACTGAGCCACCCAGGCGCCCCAAGCCATACTACTTTTGAGCAGTGAGAAGGCCCTGGTAACATTGCCTGTATTTATAAATGAGTGGCCCAGAAAATAATCTCAAACAAAAAGGAATATTTTATTTAAAAAAAAAAGAAAAGGATTATAAATTGTATATATAAATTAAGTAAACTAACATTTAAGGATGCTCTTAGTCCAGGAGATGGAAGAATTTCTATGCTGAAGCTCTTTCATGCTTTCAAGGAATTGAATAAGACATGGACTTAGAGAAATAAGACAAAACATTGAAAGATAACTGATATCGAAAGAGAGGAGAAGAAATAGTGACGTTGTAGGATGTAAATGAAATCAGGATTGCAGAATGCGCAGCAAACGCCGAGAATAACTGCAGCACGTGGACAGCTTGGGAAAACTCTCACAGAACGCTGAAGAAAAAAATAGGCCATTTGAAATGTACGTTCTCACCTGAAAATGATAATAACTCGTTTTGTGGCTGGGTTGTCAGAATGAAGCGGGATGACTCGCATAACAGACTCGGCACAGTTTGCGGCCCTTAGGTGCTCAGCAGTGTCCGAAGAGAGGAGATGATGGCTCCAAGGACAGATAATGGGGCCGACATTGAGATTGCTGCTGTGATACAGGGAGAGATCAGCAAAACTGAGCAGGAAGAAATAGATAGCTGTGGTATTGTTTTTTCCTTGAACTGAGGAATGCTGGAATGCTACTACTTAGGAAAAACCATAATGGTGGCAAACACCCAAACTTAGCCCTGGGAATGAGGGAATTAGAGAATTACTGAATTTCAGAGAGTGTTACAGGCATCCTGGAAAGAAAGAGAAGGAAGCTTCTCTGAAGCAGCTTTCAGATTGCCTGGAGCAGTGGGAGAGTCTGCAGGTAGGGAGGAAGGGGGCGATCTGATGGGACTGTCCCGCATCATATTGTTTTATTTTTTTTTATTTTTTTTAAAGATTTTGTTTATTTATTTGACAGAGAGAGATCACAAGTAGGCAGAGAGGCAGGCAGAGAGAGAGAAAGAGGAGGAAGCAGGCTCCCTGCTGAGCAGAGAGCCCAATGCAGGACTCCATCCCAGGACCCTGAGATCATGACCCGAGCCGAAGGCTGAGGCCCAACCCACTGAGCCACCCAGGCGCCCTCATGTTGTTTTAATATAAGTGACTACTCTAGAATATCAGTGGGCTTTCTCCCTTGGAGCTAAGAACAAAAAGAGATAAATGGTTAGGGTTTTCTTGGCTAAGAGGTCACACAAGAATTTGTGCTTCAGAAGTTAGAGTTGGTAATTTGGATATTACTGTCCTGGGTGCCCAGTTACCAAATAAGGCAACCAATTTAGCAAGCCAGATTTTCTAGAGATTGACAGTTATAAAGGCTGTAAAACAGAGCAGTAACCTCTGAGGTCTAGATATTTTGAAAATGTGCTTTGTTAAATAGGTATTACACAGAAAATACGTTTATGGTAAGAAAAAAAAATAAACCAGCAAAAAGATGGCTGTTCTAAATTTTCCCACAAGTTCTTAGACCAGCCAGAGAAGGAAATGGACACTACTGTAAATACATTCTGTCTCTAATTGTCTGCAAAAAGCTGCTTGCAAATGGCTTTATGGTTTAGAATTTTGTCTCCTTTTGCATTTTCATCAGTAACTTCTTTCTCCCAACTTTATACCCATAATTGCTTTTAATAAACATCATCTAATTAGAAAAGCCTGCAGTCTTATGGCCTAGCACAGGACTTCTGTTAGCACTGAGTAAAAAAAACCAGTTGTGGTGGAACTAAAACTTAAAAACTGAAAAAGAATGTATAATTTTGACAAGGAAGAGGCATATAGTATTCTGCTTCTGTAGACCAAAAATTCTATACCCACCAAAGTTGCCTTGGTTTGGGAAAGTAACAATAAAAATATTAAGTGTAGAATGATTTCAGAAAACTCTGCATAATCAGTAAAGAGATGAAATACTGAATTAAACCTCCAGGAAAATCTTGTTGTTGAACATTGACTCCTTGGTACATTAAAAAATAATACAGAATGGATAAATGGGTTTGTTCTACCAGTGCAAGAATGTGTCAATATTACATCAGTCTTTACTATAACAGATAAACCAGAAGGTTTGAGCTAATAAGATTAATAGTGTTTCTGAAGTTTAGATAATTCCAGAAAAGCAGAAGGAAGAACTTCAGCTTATCCTAATACCTTATTTGCTTTTCAGTTTGAATTTTAAAATGGGGTATGTTTGAATATAGTTTTTCACATTTCTGTGCTTTAAAAGCATTACCCACAAAAACATAGAAAGCACCAATGAGACCCATCACAATGAATGTGTTAGTAGTTAATTTGCCATGGCTTCCAATAACCCACAGCTAGGGTTCCCTTCCCCTAGTCTCTATAGCCATCAGGACACTTTTGCAAGCAATTGTGGATAACAGTTTTTCCCATCATCTCAAAAATGCCGCACCGACAGATCCCATGGTGGCATTTTCTAAATGGGCCATCAACTAAAAATCCTTTTTCTTTGCTTAGATCTTTATTACTTGAAGTGTAGGGCATATACTGGCACTGTCATTACCTGAAACCCCCACCCAGACCCACTAAATTCCAATCTGCATTTTTAAAAAAACCCTCCAAAGATTTTGTATACATATTACAGTTTGAGAAGCACTATGAAGCTCACTCCAGTTTTAAATCCTCAATAATTTACTTTCCTGTAGAATTCTTTATCATCATAATAGCTTAAAGGAGAAAAACATGTGTTCATTTCAATAGTTAGTACAAAGGCAGCTGATAAAGTTCCAGACCCATTCCTGAATTTTCTGTAATAATTACATTGAGATTTTAGTTTATTCGAGGAGATTGATATGTTTACAATAATGAATTTTCTAGTTCAGTAATCAGTATACCTCTCCATTTATTAATCTTTCCCACCATATAGCATTAAATTTATTCCTATTTAAGTTTACTCCATTAGTTATTTTTGGTATCATGACTGTCATCTTTTTTCTATTGTATTGTTTATTTTTCACATGCAGAAAATTAATCAACTATATATATACATTTATAATCAATCACTTGGAAGAACTCAGGTTTAATAGTTTTTAAGGTGACCCTCTTGAATCGTAACTAATTTTTACACTTCTGATTTTTTTTTTTAATCTTGTAATCTGTCGAGGAATAAATTCATATGGCCTTAATAGTATAGGAAACCCTAGAACATTGGGTACTTAAAAACCATTTGGACTTAACTCCCACTTCTGGGAATACAGAATACAGCTACGTTTCCCTATTCTTTCCTCTGAGTACAGCTAAAAGCCCCAGACATTATTTGTAAACAAACATAACACTGTGAAAAATGGAGAGGAGAGGCAGACTGGCTTGGGAACCTTGAGACCCAAGGAAGGACATGGAGGTGAGTTCTGTGGTTTTCTTTTAGCTTTATATATCTCAGACTTCTTGCTGCAGAGACTGGCAACATGGACATGCCAGTGGGTGCAGGCAGAAACTCCTACAAAAGCCTGCTATGTAGCCAAAGGACCAGGAAAGGTGCAGCCCAGGAGGACAAAACATTTAGACAATAACCTCTCCACTCTAGCCAAACAGCACAGGAAAAAACAAACAAACAAACAAACAAAGCAAGACAAATCCGTGACCCCACACCAGTCATGCCATGAAGTCGACTTGAGAGTTTGGCCCTCCACCCTAGTAGACTCTAACAAGGTACCCAGATACCCACAGAGCATGAATTTCCATGCTCACAAACAGTAATGTGGCAGCCCTCCCTTTCCTTGCTGGATGGAATCAAAGAAGGCATGGTGGAGAGTCAGGACTTCGATCACAACCCAGTAGTAATGAGGCCAGCTGCTGCAAAGCCTTCTGCTGTCAGTGGAGGCCGTATGAGGAGTAGTAACACAGCACTACTGCCCGCTTGGGCAGAGTGGTATTGGCGCAGCCTTGGGGAGTAGTTAGAGCTCCCAGGCCCACCCAGCAGTAATAAGCAGCCCCCACCTCAGATTTCAATAGAGGCTAGGCAGAGAACCTGAACTTCTACCCCTGCTTGTCAGGAATGAGGCAGCACCACCACCTTCCTCCCTTGCCAGAACAGTGTCAGGGAAAACCACCTAGAACAGGTTAGAAAACATCCGGTCTTATTAGTCACCACATAATATCCAATTTGTGTACATTTCAATCAATAATAAACATTTCAAGAACCAAACAAAACATAAATTTTGAAAGACAATTACTAGGTGCCAATATAGGAACGCGGAGGTGGCTCAGTCAGTTAAGCGTCTGCCTTCTGCTGGGGTCATGATCTTGAGGTCCTGGGATGAAACCCCACGTTGGCTCTCAGCTCAGCAGGGAGTCTGCTTTTCCTCACTATCCCTCTGTGTTCTTTATCTCACACACAAATTAGTAAATCTTAAAAAATAGATACCAATACAAATAACAGAGATGTTTTAATTACCTGACAAAGATTTTAAAGCTGCCATGTTATGGTAAGCACTTATGAACACACTTGAAACAAAGGAAAAAATAGGAAGTCTCAGCAAAGAAATAAAAGACAGGAAAAAAAACAATTTTTAGAGCTAAGACATAGAACAACGTATTAAAAAAACTCGCTGGATGGACTCAGCAGCAAAATGGAGGGAACACAGGACCAAATTAGTGAACTAGAGAATAGAATGATAGAAATTACTAGATCTGAACAATAGAGAGAAAAAAAACTGAAAAAAACAATGAACAAAGCCTCAAGGCATCTGTGGGACCATAATAAAAGATTTAATGTTTGTGTCATCAGAGTTTCAGATGAGAAGAGAAAGGAGAAGTACTGGAAAAGCCTGAAATAAATAATGTCTGAAAAGTTCCTGTGTGTGGTCCAAGACACAGAACCACAAATCCAAGAAGCTAAGTAAATCCCAAAAAGGATAAACTCAAATGTACCCAAAGATGCATCACAAACCTCTGAAAATAAACAAACAAACAAAATTAAAAATCTTTAAAGCAGTGAAATAGAGATGGCAACTTAGCTATAAGGGGAAAACAGTTCTCATGACAGAAGGTTTTTCATAAGGACCTATGGAGATGACGAGTGGCACAACATGGAAAGTAACATAGTATTCGTTATCCACCAAAAATAATCTTTAGGAATGAAGGGGAAATCCAGACATTCTCCAAGAGGAAAATTAACAGAACTTATCATTCGCATACCTGCCCTAAAAGAATAGCCAAGAAAGTTCTCTAAACAAAAAAAAAAAAAAAAAAAAAAAAAAGATAAAAGAATTTTGGGAAACTGGGAAGGAAGAAAGAACAAGGGAAGTAAATTTGTAGGTAAATATATTTTCCTTCTACTCTTGAATTTCTTTAATTATGTTTAACAGTTGAAGTAAAAATTTTAACATTGTCTTATACTGTTCTAAATATATACATAGACAAAATGAAATTGTATTATAAATGGGGTAGGATAAGGTATGTGTAGGAAGGTAAGGTTTCTTCACTTTTCTGGAAATCGAAGTATAAATAAAAATGAAGAGCAATTTTTATCAGTTGGTTTGGATATCGTCAATGTTTTTAATTTTGTCAGTTCAGTGAGACCCTGGGGAAAGAAATATCTATCGTACACTCTTTGGAGGGCAGTTTGACAGTAGCTTTCCATTTCAAATATCAATTATGGAGCCAGTAATCCCCCATCTAATAACCTATCTTGACAGGAATAATGCATACAAAATACATAATAATGTGTGTACAAGGTTGTTTACAGTACTACAGTGTATATGCTTACCCCATGTTTGCCCATTTCAGAGCATACATAACAAAAAATGAAGAGTTTTTTTGTAGAGCAGCTAAGTCTAAGTAGGGGTGGGCACATAGGAACATTGTACTTTATACCTTTTCTCTACTAGATCCTCATACATCATCATCTAGGCATTGAGTACAGATTCTTTGCATAGAAACACATATTACTATGTTTTTTCTTTTTTTTTGTTAACAGGTCTTATCATAGTATGTGTGGTAAACTACAATTTCTTTGTTTTCTTTGCATTGTATCTTGGAGATCGTCTTGTTCCTCAAGATACAGAACACCGCTGTAGTCAATATATCTGACCCTATCTCATCCTTCGTAACTCCTACGTAGCATCCCTCACTAGGAGTGCAGTTGCAGCTGATCTGTTTTCCCATGTGTAAACATTCCACTCTAAGCACGTGTTAGTATTATAAGCAATGCTGCAGCAAAAACCCTTACATATAGTTCTTCTATACTGGTGCTTTTCTTGGGCTAGATACAAAGAAAATTAGAAGTACTAGGTGAAAGGTTAAATAGTGTTAAATCTGATATTGCTGAATTCCCTCAAAAAGACTATTCCTTTGTACTTTGTCTGAACCCCACACTCCCGTCTTTGCTATTTTATTCACGGCTTGGAGTGGATGAGTGGATAAGGCAACAACTTACCCAAAGTTATTCTGAGTGCTGCCGGAGGCTCCCTCAAGCTTAGAGCCATCCCACATTGTTTGTAGATATTCTTTTATTTTTGTAGATGTTGATTCTGTGGTTCCCTCTTTAAGTCCAATTCCAACTACCTTCTCTCCTCCAGGATCCCTCAGAGTTGTTGGTCCATGTGCTTGCTTTTCTAACACTGTATCGAATTGCTTTAACAACCTATTTTTGAGATTTACCATTAGCGGAAGCTGGGTGAAGGTTACATGGAACTCTATTATTTTTGGAGTTTCCTGTGAGTTTCTAATTATTTCAAAAAGGAAAGTATTTTTTTTAAATACTTTGTCATATCCAGGGATTTGGATTGAGAGAAGAAGTCTGGAACAAGTGCTCAGTTGATTTTTTTTTTTTTTTTACCATACTAACTTTTATTTTGAATCATTACAGGACATATTTTTTAAATGGTAATAAAATCCCACATGCCTTTTTTCAAATGAATGAATGATGTAGTTTGACATATGTAGACATGAAATTTATAAAAATAATTTCATTTTTTGTATTATCCTTTTTAACAAGAAACTTCTATTTCATTTCTAATATGAAAACAAAACCAGAGGATCGAAGGGAGTTCCAAAGCTTTGTTTCAATAAAAAACGTTCTCAGAAATGAACTGGAATAAACTTATTTTTGTATTTAATCATTCTAAAGATACCAGTTTGTGTCTAGTTTTTGTAAGTGTTGCCTATATAAAAGTTCTCTTTCATGGTAATAACCTACTAAAGCTTTGTTGATGAAGCGTCACTAACTTCATGTAGATAAGATAATAAATGATCAGTCACAGCACTCCTTTTTCCAGGGATCCAGAGATACAAATCAGCCAAGCATTCGCCTTCTTTGGTCTGGACTGCGGTGGGTCACTTGCTGGAGTAAAGATAGTTACTAGCCATTATTTTGAAGCATCTGATACTGTTACCACGTGGTAGCAGTACTCAGTTAATCTCTTTGTATGTTTCAGGACAATTCTATTTTATTATTATTATTATTTCTTGTCACCTAGAACCTTGGCAAAATTAAGCTTTCAAATGGGAAACTGGGTTCTACCTGGTAAATGTGCTTTCCCAAGTATGGGACAAGCCATAATCTGGTATGTTCTGCTCAATATAATGTCCACTCCCCAGTGATGGTATCCCCATGAGATTTGGAAGGGAGGGCCCCAACAGTTTCCCAGCTCAGTGTCTCCTGAGATGCACTTTGTTCTTGTGCTTTATAAAATTAAGTGGGTAATTGTTGCACATAAGTAATTCTGTTACTTGCTCTTTTCCACAGGCTTTTTGGAAGGGATGTAAACAACAGAAAGCATATTTGCGCAGGCGGCAAATGTTGATTAATAATGTTGATTCTATTGTGAAGGTAAACATCCCTTGCCACTTTATCAAGTGCTTGACTTTTTTTTTTTAAGGTTTTATTTATTTATTTGACAGAGAGATTACAAGTAGGCAGAGAGGCAGGAAGAGAGAGAGGGGGAAACAGGCTCCCTGCTGAGCAGAGAGCCCAGATGTGGGGCTTGATCTCAGGACCCTGAGATCCTGACCTGGGCTGAAGATAGAGGCTTAACCCACTGAGCCACCCAGGTGGCCCTCAAGTGCTTGACTTAAACCTTTCTCTTCATTTTAGTTTTGCTCTTGGAAGACAGATTATGGAAAGAGTACATAAGAGTCTTGACATATGAATTATGTCACGGGTTTGAGTTCCATGTCTATTACTCAGCTGATCATCTTCAAGTCTGTTAAAACACTGTACCTGGCTCAGGTCCTTTCTATAGTTTTGAGAATCAGTTGTGCAAGTATTTCAAAACCTATAAATGCTCTTTCTCTAGGAACTCCAAATTGATTATTTAAGCTTTGGGGAAAACACTGTTATTTCACATCCCTCTTAACCATATTCACTAATAACATTTACAGAACTTAACAGTACAAAACCTTAGTTGTTAGGCAAATACAAAACCAGTGACAAGAAAAAGTAGAACTAAGTTAGGACCTGCATGTAGGGGGTGAGTAGGTCTAACCCAGCTCTCCACCCAGGCTGACAGCCCTGAGTTTAGAAAAAGGAAAGACACTGGGGTGCCCACTGCCCAGTGCTAAAAACCAGAGGACAGCTGAGAAATGAACTTTCAGACAATGTGGAAATCCAGGTGAGAATTGGAATAGCAGAGATTGAAATGAGATTAATTCAAAAGACCTTTGAAACTGTGAAGGCAGAGAATGATATCATCTAGTTCCATTGTGCTCCTTGGTAATGTGTTCTGCTTGCCATGGGGCATAAGCCTGTGTTGTATCAGAAAACTGTAGGTCCCGACTTGTCCCTCAGGAGAAGTCTGGATGTGCTTTCCTATAAAGACCTAAAGGATCCTGGATGCTGTTAAGGGATGCTGGAAGAAATCCTGGACTTGTGTTTTGATTCCCTGACCTGCTCCAGCTCTCAGCAAAATGCCTTGCCCTCTTGGTTTTTATTTCCTAAGATGAAAGCAAAATGGTACAAAGCTACATTACCTTCCATACCATAAGGTATAAAACGCTTCAAAACCCTAGGAAAAATGTAACAACAGGAGTAGGAGATGAAGATAATGCTTAGGATGTTAATTATTTGGTAGGCTGTTCACTTTTTCTTTTTTTATCAAAATATCAATATTATCTTTAGAAAGACTGCGTGAAAAAATATTAAAGGTTGTTTAGTAATTGCCTTGATTTCTCTATTTAACTCTTTTTTAGATTCAGTCCTGGTTCCGGATGGTAGTCGCACGGAGGAATTACCTTGCACGACTGCAGTATTTCAGAGATCATGTAAGGCACACACAAGTTGATTTCCCCTGGCTGAGAATGAACTGAACGAATGCTTTGTTGAATGTTTGCATTGAATGATTTCTAGTAAATGGTGGAAATGTTTTCAGAAGAGAACCCAAGTAGAAGGCTGCTGGCATATTGTATATGCTGGCTGCATAGTGTTCCTGTGTAGTCTTTGTATTAAATAGACTATCTTGTCAGTTCAGGAAGAGAAAATTAAATGTCTTCATGCACTTGCTTCCTTTTGTCATAACTATCATTCATGCACTTGCTTCCTTTTGTCCTAAGGACATACCAGAGCTTTTGATGAGGTTGATATTTTCATGTGTGCCCAGCTGTCTTTGGCTCAGTATCTAAAACACTAGTGTCATTTAGTTGGATGGATAATTGAAATCTATACACCAGTAACCTTATATTTTGTTTTTAAGTCCAAAGGTAAATGGTGGAAATGAACAGTAGGAGGAAACAATAGGTCTTAAAAACTCAATGTGATAATATTTGGAGGCTTACTTTTTTTTATTCAGAACTCATGTTCAGAGTGAGACTTCACTAGTCAGGACTGCATAGGAAATGTGTGAGAAGAAACAGATGTGGGCTAGAGAAAAGATTCCAGATGAGTATTTTCCAACACTGCTTATAAAGTTTTTCTAACTGGTGACTGATAAACTTAAATAGAAGCCCACAGGAAGAATTTTTTCAGGATCTTTTAAAGAATAGATAAGTGAACACAGGCTGAATCATCTAAATTTGGGGCTAAAATTCTTTTCCCTTTTAGATCTCTTTATAAACGGTGCTATACAATCTTGTCAATATTTTTAGCTGACTTACCTGACCTTTTCTCTGCAAAGAAAATGCAAAAAATAAACATTGAATACATCCCATCTAACTATTGTCAGTTCTAAATAGTCTTCATTCTTAAAGAAAAAAAAAAAGATTTTATTTTTGAGAGTGTCAGGTGAGGAAGGGAGAGAGCCTCAAGTCCTTCAGTAGGAAAAAAAACGAAGACTAACTTACAGGAAAAGACAATAGAAGGCATATCTCAGAGACCTGTATTAGAGGCATTTCATCAGTTTATAAGACGTGAGTCTGAAATAGTGAGCAACTTGGTTCTTGAGAGATCTCTGAACCATGTGCAACTACTTGGGTGAGTGGGTCAGGACTCCCGTCATGAGACAGGTGGGAGGGGAAAACCCAATCACAGTATCTTTTCTAGCAACGAATGAGATGTGGTGGTCAGGGGAGGGTGAAGCATACCAAAAGGGTGATGTCAGTAAGAAGACAACATGGCACAGAATATCAGTATTCCAACCAGGCATCAGAGATATGGTGTATCAGTATGTGGAAAAGGGGTCCCAAACTTACTTGAAAGGGGTCCCGAATTTATGAATACACAGATGAAAATAACATGAGGTGACAAGCAGCAGCAGTCATAGCTCATAACATAATTCTGAGTGACCAGGAGCACCTGAGCAGCTCAATTGGTTGAGTGTCTGACTCTTGATTACAGCTCAGGCATGATCTCAGTGTGGTGGGATCAAGCCCCGTGTTGGGCTCCATGTTCAGCAGGGTGTCTGCTTGTGGTTTTCTCTCTCTCTCTTTCTCTCTTTCTCTCTTTGCCCATCCCCATCTATTCTCTCTATATCTCTCTAAAATAAATTAGTTAAAAGAAAATTCTGAGTGACCTAACCAAAGACAAGTCATAGAGTGGATGGTTCTTCTTTGGCCATTGTTTGGTAGTCTCATATCAAAATCATGTATAGTCCTCATAGTTCCTAAGGACAAAAATTAAAATATTCTTTTATATAAAATGAAAAAAATTAAGTAATCTCTACACTCAACATGGGGCTCGAACTTAAAACCCTGATATCAAAAGTCATGTGCTCCACCACCTGAGCCAGTGAGGTGCTCCTAAGTAGTGTCCATTCTTAAATACTCTCAGTTCTTGGGTAGTTCTGAATTCTATAATCATGGAATAGAGGGACCTTGGGAAGATCATGACTGGTCTCATTCTTTTGCAGAAAAATGAAATTGTGAAAATACAGTCCCTACTGAGAGCAAACAAAGCTAGAGATGACTACAAAACATTGGGTAAGTGGAAGTACAGATCTTCCTCCACTAACGATGGGGTTCTTCCTAATAAGCCCATCACAAGTTGCCAATATCCTAAGTTGAAAATGCATTTAACACATCTAATCTGTGGAACATCATTGTTTAGCCTGGCCTGCCTTAAATGTGCTCAGAGCACTTAAATTAGCCTAAGGTTGGACAAATGATCTAACACAAAGCCAGTTTTATAGTAAAGAGTTGAATAGCTCGTGTTATTTAGTGAATACCACACTGCAAGTGAAGAACAGAATGGTGGTGAGTATATGGGTGGTTTACCCTCATGATCATGTGGCTGGCAGGGAGCTGTGGCTCACTCCTGCTACTCAGTATCCTGAGGGAGCGTCCTATGGCATGGTATTAGCCTGGGAAAAGTTGCAAATTCAAAATTCAAAGTACTTTCCTTTTGAATATGTGTGGCATTTGCACCATCATGAAGTCAAAAACATCATAAGTCAAGCCATCGCTAGCTGGGGATCATCTATACTCTGAAACAAAGTATGGATTCTCTTTAAACGAGGCAAAAACAAAAACAAGAGACTGCTCCAGGAATAGAAGTTGTCCATTGTTTCCAGTAGGTTTTGACCATCTCAGACTCCAGGTTCTGAATTGGTGCACAAAGGAATGTTGATGGCAGGAAGTGGGCCTTCCTGTTGTAAGTGGAAGCGGTAGGTAGAGTGGATATAATTTCTTCAGAAAGAAAGGAGTTGGCATAAATGCTGATATTTTTATATTAAATTTGAGCTAGAGTCAGAAATCTAATGCTAAAGAGCCAGAAGATAAGCTTTTATTTGAAACTGTTTAGTTTTTTTGTTGGCCTATGATTTTTTTTCCCCTCATTCTAAGAATAAAACATGTTCACATCAGAAATTTTGGAAACAAGAGTAAGAAGGAAAAAATGTGAATAAGAAAAGGAAAAGCTCATCTCCTGAAGATGACCATAAACATCTTCCTATAATTTCATTCTCAACTTTCATGGTCCCTATAGTTTTTAAAATATTTTATTATAATATGACATGCCATTTGTAGAAAATATTAAAAGAGCAAAATAAAATAAAAATCACCCAGAAATAACATTGACATTTTGTACTATTTACAATCCCAACATTGCATATGTTCTGTTCTTTACATAGTGAAGATTTTTTTTTATATGCTGAATTTTTAACATTCTTACTATCACAAGAACATGTGATAGATTAAGAACCTGCTGATAAGCCTACTAGTATTGCACAAACTTTTTACATCTTTTGGTCAGGTTATTCTGAATTAGTTTTGAGAGGGTTAAAAAAAAAAAAAATCTTGACTTGGCATCTTAGTCGTGAAAATGGCCATTGTGCTATGTCTACCTCTGCCTTCCTTCTCATTTTTATTTTTTGGAGGAAGCAAATTTGAGTACTATAATGAGCACAGTGCCAAGGAAGTAGTTTAGCTGGTACCCTTTTTGCCTAAAGTCCATCTGAGTTCTGGGGTGAAGTATACGGCTCAAGAAAGGTCTTCCTTGGTACTTGTTAAGGAAAAGCCTCAGAAAGATTTAGAGAACAGGTTCTGCTTCCAGCCTATAGAATGTATTGGGTAACACATCATTCTGCTGGATTCCAGAATTCCCTCTGCAAGCTAAGTAAGGGAAGGCCAACTAGTATTTGCAGGGCCACACTTCTCCATTGTCGAATTCATGAGATTCATCTCTGGTGGATACCTTTAAGTGTTTTCCAAGAAGTCTAAATAGGGATTTTTGTTTTCTGAGCCCCGACACACTAGAACAGGTTTGCTACTGTCCTTGCTCATGAAAGACATTTTAAGAATAGCTTTTCCAGCTGAACACAGGCTGCTTTTCATTTATTTCTAGGTAACATGTTTTTGTGGTCAGTTGTAGGGATGCTTTTCACTTGCTTACATTTTCTTTTAATTGTTATTTATTTACTTGAGAGAGAAAGAGCATGAGAGGAAGAGGGGACAGAGGAGATGGAGAGAGAGAATCTCAGGCAGACTCTTTGCTGAACACCAAGCCTGATGCAGGGCTCGAGATCATGACCTGGACCAAAATCAAGAATCAGATGCTTAACAAACTGAGCCACCAGGCACCCCTTTACATATTTTTTAAATTTCAAAGACAAAAGAAATTCCAATTTAAAAATCCAGGTGATTTTATGTTAAAGCATAGAAGGTAGATAGAAATTATGTTAGTGAGTAAGTTAGATCTTGGCCGCTCTGGGCTTTAGCAAACAGGGTGGTTCTGTGGTAACTGAAATGTAACTTTTCATTTCTTTCTCAATTCAGCATCTTTATAAGACTAAGGCATTTTTTAAAGGTGTTATTTATTTATATGAGAGAGAGAGAGAGTATGAGTGGGGGCGGGGGGAGAAGCAGACTCCCCACTGATCAGGGAGCAAACATGGGGCTCAGTCCCAGGATTCTGAGATCATGACCTGAGCCAAAGACAGACACTTAACCAACTGAGCCACCTAGGCACCCAAAGACTAAGGCATTTTTAATCTGAAAAAAGAAAGTCACTTTTATTGATCTGTCATCATTGATTTTCACCCATTCCTTCTGGAAAGACATTGAGTTCCTTTAGGCTTGTTGGTTATTGCAACTGTGATGTGGCCCACTTCTCAGTAATGACTGTCAGGTTAGGTGATTCTCTGAAATTCAGATATCCCAAAGTGATTCTGAGCCTGAAGATATCATAGGGCTTCTGCTGACAGAGGAAATATTAAATTTAATAATTGCTAAAGCTAGAATACTAATTTGTTTCTAACATGTTTATTGGCACATACAGAGATAAATGGTCCTTAGGAGCAGAAAGAATTGGAGACCAGGTGAGCTGGCTCGTGTCCTCGCAACTTAGCTACATACATGAGCTCTGGAACATCGCTCTGGCTTTTTCTAAAATGGCCATGTCATTAGCAACATCATTGTTGGAAATAGTAGATGATAAATTCACATGTACTTCAGTGATCAGGGAAAGAAGGGTCCCAAGAGCTGAAGTAATTTCTGCAATAAAACCCATCAGAAGTGGCAAAATACTAATACCAATGCCCCTAGATTTGGTTGTCCATGTGGGGTTCATGCTGTTAGTTCTTTGTGTGGTTGTTTTAACTCTTCTTATTTCTTGAATGTCAAAACACCACAGAACCAAGGTGGAAGTAGAAAGAAGATGGGGTAGGGTCTCAGTGTAAGGAAGAGGATGGTGATGGAAGTTGCCACAATGGGGCTGAGCTTTTTCAAGTCATCTTTGTGCTGTTGTGTGTCATCATTCATCACTGAGGGTCCACATCGTTTATTCTTACAGTTGACTCAGTGTTCACTAAACTCTTTAACAACTGTATTTTTTGTGAAGCCAGCATGCCAGGGAATTCAAGCATAATTAAGGTTCAAAACACTGAGAGGAAACGCCTTTAGAACTTAGACCCCCCTCTCAACAGCTAAGGCTGGTCTCCCAGCCTCTGAGTGCCCTCCTTTGGTCTGTGGTGAAAGGACAAGGACTAAATTTCAATTTCTAAGATGCGCTTTTTTTTTAAGATTTTATTTATTTATTTGACAGAGCGAACGAGAAAGGGAATACAAATTGGGGGGTGGGGGGCTGAGCAGGAAGCCCGATGCAGGACTCAATCCCAGGACCCCAGGATCATGACCTGAACCAAAGGCATTCACTTAACTGACTGAGCCACCCAGGTGCCCCACTAAAACCCTTTAATTTGTGCCACATAGAATTTGCGTTCCACTTGTCATTCCATTAGCTCCTGTTTGGTCTCACAGTTCTCCTCGCATTGACTTTTTCTAATTCAACTTTCACCTAATTCTTGCTCGCTCCCTCGTGGTGTTTTGGGCTGAGAGAAGCCACTTCCTGTTTGTTCTAGCAAGAACAGGAGTCTCTTAATCTGGTTCATCCACAGGGTCTCAGAGATAATTTAGTTAACATACCCCCTCACGTTCCTCATCAATAAGGCGCAGATAGGTAGAACTATCTTCTCAGGGGCACCTGGGTGGCTCAGTGGGTTAAAGCCTCTGCCTTTGGCTCAGGTTGTGATCCCAGGGTCCTGGGATCGAGCCCCACATCGGGCTCTATGCTCAGCAGGGAGCCTGCTTCCTCCTCTCTCTGCCTGCCTCTCTGCCTACTTGTAATCTCTGTCTGCCAAATAAATAAATAAAATCTTTAAAAAAAAAAAACTATCTTCTCAGTGGGAGAGTCCTGGAAGCAGTGTGGAAGAAGGCTGATAAATAAGTATTAGATAACAAGAAGACAGACCAGATGGCATTGGTGGTGTGCGGTTATTTATAAGATCAGTTTCTCTGTCCAGACTTGACATGGGCAGAGCGAGTCATTATAGTGACCAAATATTTCCATTGCCATATTTTTATTGTAATGCTTTAGTCAAGTACCTGATTCTTCTCCTATTGATGATAGTTCCAACCATGCCTAACGAAAGCATGCCTCTTCTTTCCCCACAGTTGGCTCTGAAAACCCACCATTAACGGTAATCCGAAAATTTGTACACCTACTGGACCAAAGTAACTTGGATTTTCAGGAGGAGCTGGAGGTCGCACGGTTAAGGGAAGAAGTGGTGACCAAGATCCGAGCCAATCAACAGCTCGAGAAAGACCTGAACTTGATGGACATCAAGATTGGGCTCCTGGTGAAGAACAGGATAACACTGGAGGTCAGTGCGATCTGTGGGGCCCTTGGCTCCCAGAAGAGAGAAGGAGCATATGTATTTGCCCACAACACCTTTGTCCAGCTAAACTTATTAGGAATCCAAAATGTGTTGTCCAAATTCACCGACCATTTTTCTCATGGTTCTCAGACCTGCAAAATTTTAGGACCCTGCCCCTTATAATATATTTTGTAAGATTTCTTTGCCATTCTGAAATGAAACTTATAGGAAACAAAGCCTACTCACATATGTACCTTCATAATGAGACCGAGACCTTTCCATGAATATAAAAAAGTAATCGATAATAAAAACATGGTTTGCAACATGAAAGTACATGGGCCCAGTGCCATTAGAAGATGTGATCAAGTTGCCTGAGGCTTGGGCCTCTTCCCAGAGTAACCACAAACTTAACGGAGTATGAATAGCCACAGATGAGACCAATGCCAGTGAGTGGGGAACTGTCTGTGATTTCACTTCCCAGAATGGAAAACAACTCTTTGTTAAGTTCAGAATAAGCACATTGATCTCCCCCACTGAACTGCAGTCCTAGAAAAGTCAGTGTATAATAAAATTGAGAGGAAATGTATTTTGGTTATATCTAAAACAACTAGTTTTTAGGCTCAAATAATCACAGAATTTTGACATACCAGAATGACCACCAGGACATTGACAAATCCAGCCATGCAAAATGTGGAGAAGTTACACAGGAATGCCCTACAGATTGCAGGATAGCAGAGCATCCCAGTCCCCACCCTCTAGAAACCAGTAGTACCTTCCAATTGTTAGGATGTTTTTAAAAAAATACCTTTACAGGGCACCTTGTGGCTCAGGCATTTGGAGGTCTGACTCTTGATTTCAGCTCAGGTCATGATCTCAGGGTCATTGAGGTCAAGCCCTACGCTGGGCTTGGCACTTAACACAGCATCTGCCTGAGATTCTCTCTCTCTCCCTCCCTTTGCCCCTCCCCCCACTCACACAACCTCTCTCTCTCCCCAAATAAAAAAATGCAATCTTTAAAAAAAAACAGACACCTTTACACATTTCCAAAATGGCCCCTACAGAGTGGACTGCCCCCAAACCAGCCTGTAAGTAAATAATGCTCTAGTTTAGTATCTGTGCTCCTTTCAGAGCTCTCTCAAACCATGTGAAAAGTATCATTTTTACCCAAGAAAGGAGACTGGTAGAGTAAGAGTTCTTTCCATGCCCCAGTTCCAGTGCCACATCAATTTTTAGAAAACGGGTAGGTTGGGAGGGGAATGGGAAGCTGACTTCCTGGAAACTCTGAGAAAGCTACCATGGGTCAAACACAGAGTGCCAGCTGCCACTAACTTGAGTCTGTGGTTCTGGAAACCTGGGAAATGAGCAGCTCAGGAGGCCAGCAGAGTAGTGGACATGAATGCCGCACTCCTGTCTCTGGCCCTCGCAGAGAAATAGTGAGTGCACAGAAAATGAGGAAAATGGAGCAATTTATAAAATAGGAAATGATGGTCTTTTCTAACTATTAAGAAAAGCACAATTTAAATGTTCTGTATTAAGTCTTTTTTCATTATTTCATCCAGAAAAATAGTACTTTTCTCCTTTTTTAAAAAAAGTGTATTATTTGACAAACATGAGAATTTGTAAAGTATAATATATTCCAGAAGGTCCTTCAGAAAATTCCTTTTAAAGCCTTCCAGTTCTGTTTTACCCTCCTCCCATAAAGTTGTAAACAGGAAATGCCTTGCCTTTTAAAATAAAGGCTGTTGCAAAACACTGAATAGTAGACATAACATGTAGCTTGTTATTCATGCGGAAAATGAAATTGTGGCAAATTTTCAGGTCCTGAGGACTGTTGAAGATTTTTTTAAAAGTATTCCCAATTGATAGCATTGTGGAACAGATGTGATTTTTCAACTTATGTTTTCAAATTCCAAATATTGATTACTTATTGGAAATTAAGCTAACGATTATTAAGCATATGGTCTTTAGTGTTATTACCAATAGTCGCATTTTTAGTCTGATGGTAAGAATAGTATAGGTGAAGCTTTATAGTAGTGAAAAAGTGAAAAAAATCCCAAACACAAAAACAATAAACAGAGAACAACAGAATTAGTTGAACATGTAGGTTACGTAGCCACTAAAAATAATGTTTTCAAAGAACATTTAAGGGTGGGGGAAAAGTTTGCAATACAAGAGCAAAGATAGTAGTACTTAAAGCGTAAATTTCATTTGTTGTGAAATATATATATACATATATATATGTGTATATATATATATATATATATATATATATATAATTATTTATTTATTTATTTATTTTTTACTTAAAGCTAGAAAAAAAGTGATTTTTCTTCAGGAGGCTGGTGAAATTGAACTTCTTGTATCGTTTTTTTCCCTAAATACCAAGCATATTGGGGCGCCTGGGTGTCTCAGTCCGTTAAACATCAGCCTCCAGCTTAGTTCATGATCCTGGGGTCTGGAATCAAGCCCCAGTTGTGCTCTCTGCTGGTCAGGAAGTCTCCTGCTCTGTCTCCCTCTGCCTGTAGCTCCCCTGCTTGTGCTTTTTCTTTCTGTCAAGTAAATAAATAAAATCGTTTAAATACATACATACATACATACATAAATACTTACATACTGAGCATGTGTTTAATGAGGAAAGAGGAAGTAGCTTGATCTATAAAGAAGAACTCCAGCTCTCTAAAATTTTTCTAAAATTGATGTTCCTCGCCTGGCTGGCTCAGCTGGTAGAGCGTGCAACTCTCGATCTTGAGGTCATGCATTCAAGCCCCATGTTGGGCCTACACCTTACAATCAATCAATCAATAATAAATAATAATAAATAAAAGATAATAAATGAATAAATAAATAAATAAAAAGCAAAATTGGCATTCCTCCTAGAAATCACAGAAAGTCAGTGGGTGAATGAAATGACTAACATTGGTTTTAGGCAAAAGAAAAAGGCTTAGAGATGGAAACAAAGCAACTGAGGCAGAAGTTTCTTGGAGAAGTAGGGAGGAAGGGAGTTACAAATTCAAACTAGCTTGAAGGAAAATCTGAATGGAAAATGAAAGTAATCTTGGGGCACTGGGTGGCTCTGTCGGTTAAGCATCCAGCTCTTGATTTCGGCTCAGGTCATGATTGCAGGGTCGTGAGGTCGAGCTCTATATCCAGCTCCATGCTAGGAGGGGAGACCGCTTGAGATCCTCTCTCTCCCTCTCCCGCCGCCCTTCTCTCCACTCACAGAAGTGTGTGCTCTCTCTTTCTAAAATAAGTAAACAAATCTCTTTTTTTAAAGATTTTATTTATTTATTTGACAGAGAGAGATCACAAGTAGGCAGAGAGGCAGGCAGAGAGAGAGATTGGAGGAAGCAGGTTGAGCAGAGAGCCTGATGCGGGACTTGATCCCAGGACCCCGAGATCATGACCTGAGCCGAAGGCAGAGGCTTAACCCACTGAGCCACCCAGGTGCCCCGTAAACAAATCTTTTTAAAAAGAAAAAAAGAGAAGTAAAAGGAATCTTGAACCCCTGAAATACTCATTGATGAATGTGGTGTATAATAGGAGTGCAGACGTGAAAGCCAGGGCTACCTAAAACCCAGGGAAAGCCAGGCTCTGCAGGTACCCCTACTTTCATGTCTCCAAATCCCAAACTCTTTGTACTACTCTACACCTTCTATAAAAATTTTCATATTACAGCCTGTGACCTGCACGCAGGTATCCTGTGATCAGAGAAAGGGTACAAAATGGTGGCTATCGGAGCAACATCAAAATGAGGGAATATCATGAACAAGTTAAATACTGTTGCTCCTTCAAACCACTGTTCTTCCCATGTTCAAGATTTATTCGTAAGAATAAAGGACATTACATTTCTATTAGTGAAAAGCATATGCGTTTAGAATCCCTCCCTGGTTGGTCTTTAGCTCCTTCTTTAAGCTTTGCAAAGAAAACTTCTGTTGACACAAGAGCAGTCTTAAGCAAGACATGATTTCAGGGAAGAAGGAAGATGGGCTTCCTGCCATGACCCGCATCACAGTGTTCCGTCTGTCCAGCTGCTAGCTCCCCCCACCCTTTCCCCTCCAGGGCTCAGCATCTGCTGCTCAGTTCCCGTCCTGGATTATTCTCCATGTCCTGGCCTCACCAAATGTCTCTTTCTTCTAACGGAGAGAAATTGAGTTCCGCCCCCGAGCTTGCTTGCCACTCCGGCCCCCTCTTCTCTCTTCTCTTTTCTGTATGTCAAAAACCATAACATACAGCTGAAGTCTGGGAACAAAACAAATGAAAAGTCTTCAGTTTCCAGAGCCACCTGCGTTGAAAATAATGGGAGGGGGAGTTAAATAGCAAGATTTTTTTTGTCTGCCACATATTTAAAACCAAGATTATCTATTTACTCCATGTATTTGAGAGGCTTGAATGCCCGGTGCCTCGCCAGTGACTTGAAGAGAAGAAAGCTGGGCTATATGCTGTAAACCAGACTTAATCTAGTGATGTTTTAGGACTTCTTATGAATAAGGATGTCAGACAGCTGCCCACTCAGACTTCCCCTTAACCGATGCGTAGGTACACTTCCTTTCTTCCTCCTGAAATTTTTCATATGCTTATGAAGTAAGGATGAAAATATTTCCTTTTTTAAAAGTTCATGGAGATACAAATCAAATCCCCCTCTTTCTGCATACTAGCAATGAGGAGGACAGAAGTAAGGGATGAAGTTCAGGTGGCCCCCCTCTAAGCTGAGAAAGGACAAGAGTAAAATCATAGACCCACAGGACAGTGAGTATGACCACATGGAACCATCTGACAGCAGAACTCCAAAGAGGTTTTTTTTTTTTTGACCCATGGACTAACCCACACTATGGGAGAATAGGGTGCTAGGACGCAAGCAGATTTAGAACTTTCCTCAAAAGCTGACAGTAGTTCTCATCCCCAAGGGCAATTGGAAGTGGTGGCAGGCACCTATATGGTTGTCAGAATGACTAAGGGTCCCTTCGGGCATCTGACGGACAGGGGTCAGGGATGCTAGAGGACCAGTGATCCAGGGATGCAGGCACAGTAAAGCATTGTATTGTCTGAAATCCCCAGAGTGCCCCACCTCAGGAACTGTGGTTAAACATCCTGATGCTGGCTGCAGATCAACTCCTCAAGTGGAGGCTGGGCTAAGAGCTCAGGAAGCAGACAGAAGATTTAGGAAAAACAGCCTTATTGCCACCTACTCTGTGGGACAGTGACCCAGCGTTACATAGCAGAGGAGACACTCATTCTAGAGCCCTGGCGTTCATTTGAGTCATGTGCCTCTGGGGGGTCATGAAAGCAATTAAATGAGTCACATCAGGAATCTTTAGAAGTTGAATAGAGTAAAAGCAAATTGAGGATATCAGAGTGTATCCCAGTATGGATAAGTATTTCATATTGAGTGTGTGCATGCATGTGTGTTTACCAGCAAAAGATGTAAGATATATTTTGTACTGTGGGTCCCTGTAGGGGCACCTGGGTGGCTCAGTGGGTTAAAGCCTCTGCCTTCGGCTTAGGTCATGATCTCAGGTCCTGGGATCGAGCCCCGCATCGGGCTCTCTGCTCAGCAGGGAGCCTGCTTCCTCCTCTCTCTCTCTGCCTGCCTCTCTGCCTACTTGTGATCTCTGTCTGTCAAATAAATAAATAAAATCTTTAAAAAAAAAATTTGGTAGACCCTTACCTAGGAGTCCTGCTCTTGTTCACGGTCCTTTATGCACTTGAAGGGAACACAATAGCCAGAAATGACCTTGTAACAAGGTTTGCAGCCACACCTTTTCAAAGATTCTGTTGTAAATGGTTAAAGGAGCATGACTGATAAAATAAACTTTGTTAGGCACCTGGTCAGTCAGTTAAGCATCTGCCTTCAGCTTGGGTCATCCTGGGATCAAGTCCTGCATCAGGCTCCCTGCTCAGTGGAGAGCCTACCTCTCCCTCTGCCTCCTACTCCCCCTGCTTGTGCTCTCTTTCTCTCTGTCAAATAAATAAGTAAATTATTTTTTTTTTAATTTTTAATTAACTTTGTTAAATATTTAGGGGATTCTTTTCACTTCTATCTTTAATTGCTGCATTGCATATTTGCATATTTTTTGAGAAGATCTAATTCATTCTTTAAAAGTGTATACTTTAGTGGTTCTTAGTATATTCACAAAATAGTGAAACCATAATGTCCATAGGCCTAGAACATTCACCCTAAAAAGAAACCTGAGAGAAAATGTTTTCAAATTAGCAGGTGAGTTTTATCATGAGAATAACATTTCACTTAAAAAAATCAAGACCTATACCCGTTAACAGTTACTACCTAGTCTCCCCTACAGCAGAGCAACCATTAATCTACTTCCTGGCCAAACAGATTTGCCTGTTGTGGATATTTCATATGAATGGAATCACACAGTATGTGGTCTGTTGTGACTGGCTTCTTTCTCTTAATAAAGTGGTTTGTTTGTTTGTTTGTTTGTTTGTTTTTGTTTTTAAAAGATTTTACTTATTTATTTGACAGACAGAGATCACAAGTAGGCAGAGAGGCAGCCAGAGAGAGAGAGAGGAGGAAGCAGGCTCCCCACCGAGCAGAGAGCCGGACACGGGACTTGATCCCTGGACCCTGAAATCATAATCAAGCCGAAGGCAGAGACTTAACCCACTGAGCAACCCAGGCACTCTAGTAGTGTTTTTGAGGTTCGCCCATGTTTTAGCCTGAGTCAGTACTTCATTCCTCTTTATTGACAAATAACATTCCATTGAATGGATATACCACATTTTATCTATCCATTCATCTGTTAATGAACATATGAGTTGTTTCCTCTTTTGGGGTATTATGAATAATTCTGTGAACATTCATGTACACATTTCTGTGCAGACATAGGTCCTCCATTCTCTTGGATATATACCTAAGAGCGGAATTTCTAGGTCATATGGTAAGTCCATCTTTAACTTTTGAAGAACTACCAAAATGTTTTCTAAGTGGGTATACCATTTTACATTCCCACCAGCAAGGTATGAATTGGGAAAATGTCTATTCAAATCTTTTGCCATATTTGATTGGGCTACCTTTATTTTTGAGATGCAAGAGTTCTTTATATTCCTCATTTGATGTATAATTTGCAAATGTTTTCTCCCCTTCTGTGGGTTGTCTTTTTATTTCATTAGTAATGTCCTTCGAAGCACAACAGTTTTACTTTTTATGAAGTCCAATTTATTTTTTCTTTTGTCACTAGTACATTTGGTGTCATATGTAAGAACCCATTGCCTAATCGAAAGGGACAAAGATATATGCCTAGGTTTTCTTTCAAAAATTTAATAGTTTTAGCTCCTACATGTAGTTCTTTGATCTCTTTTGAGTTAATTTTTCTCTATGGTGTGAGGTAGGGGTCTGACTTCTTTCTTGTAAATGTGGATTTCCAGTTATCCCAGTATCATCTGTTGAAAAGACAGTGCTTTCCCTATTGAAATGTATTGGTGGGCGCCTGGGTGGCTCAGTGGGTTAAGCCGCTGCCTTCGGCTCAGGTCATGATCTCAGGGTCCTGGGATCGAGTCCCGCATCGGGCTCTCTGCTCAGCAGGGAGCCTGCTTCCCTCTCTCTCTCTCTCTGCCTGCCTCTCTGTCTACTTGTGATCTCTCCCTGTCAAGTAAATAAATAAAATCTTAAAAAAAAATAATAAATAAAAAAATAAAAAAAAAAAATGAAATGTATTGGTGCCTACATTACATCTTAAGAACAGCTAAGTACAGCTTTGGAGAACAAATATTACAAAAGCTAAATTCACCTGCAAGCTGAGCTTCCTTTAACATTCTCTGTCCTTTGTTTCTTCCTAAGGGAAATGTGGAAAATTAATCTTTCCAACACATGTGTTTCAAGGTGTGTGTGAAGGGCGGAGATTTAAAAAAAAACAAAGCAGCAAAATAAAAAGTAATCATTTCATAAATTCCTTTCCAGGATGTAATTTCACATAGAACGAAGCTGAATAAGAAAAAAGGTGGAGAAATGCAAATACTGAATAACACTGACAACCAGGGAATTAAAAGTTTGAGTAAAGAGAGGAGAAAAACACTAGAAACCTACCAGCAGCTGTTTTATCTTTTACAGGTAAGAATAGTTGCCTTCACTAAAAGCTTTGGATTGAGACTCTATATTCCTTGCCGGTGGTTTATAATGGATCTTTTCCCAATGTAAAGTTGTAGTCATTGACATGTTTGAGCATGTACCCAGTGCTAAGTACTAAATACCCAGTGCTGTTCTGGGTGCTTCACACACATCATCTCTTTGTATTCTTCCTACCACCCTCGGGAAACTGTAATTATTCTTATGCCCATACTACAGATGAGAAAACTGAGATACACCCAGTAAATGGTAAAGCAAGGGTATTGGAACCCAGGCAGTTTGACTTTGGAGCCTCTGCTTCTGAGACTACGTTATATTACCATTATCTGCAGAGACAGGATAAAATAAGCAGTTGCTGTTGGCCATGACAAAATTAAAATATGTGCCAAACGGATCTTTATCTGAACTAGCTGGCCCTTCTTTTGAGAAAAGAGCCAGAGTTTGGATTAGGGCAATAGGGCATCTTTTTTATTTCATTATTTTCATGGCATCACTACGATGTCAACGAACAGTCATTTTCCACTGCTTCAAGGGTGCAGGTAAGAACTAGTTAAGTTGAACTGCTTATGGTTGGACTGTGGTAGACCAGTTACTGTTTTGGTTAATCACTGATTCACCTTATCTGTTCTACCAGCACATCCACTCAATCCCAAAGGAAAGTGAGTAAGCAAGTGTTAGTGATAAACAAAGCCTTCCCTTTGGCAGGAAAACTTTCCCCCAAAAGGTAGGTCAACAGTTCTTCCTTGAGTCAGGTGTCCCTTTGTGTGGGGAGGCTGCTGCTCTTGGTGGTGACTCCCTCAGGCCTGAAGTCCCTGAATTTTTCCTTGGGGACCACAGTGACATTAGGTATACATAAGACATATGACCCAAAGCATGAATGAAGTGTGGTTCGTCCCATGAGAGAAGTTACGTTAATTTTAGTACACACGAGAAGGCTCTGTCTGGATAGAGTTGTGAGCAGGTGTAGTGCCACAGTTGGCCACGATGTGGCAGCATAGAAGAACAATGTAAAAAAAACAGTATTGTTTGTAGAAGCTATTGCTTAACTAACCCCAGCGAACTTCCCAGAAAGAAAGGGGGCTCCCACTGGGTAGGGAAGGGTTTTGTCTACCTCAACTAGAATAGCAGTCATCTACCAGTTGAAAATTTAATCTTGGGCATTTCTTCTTGTTGTTTTTTTTTTTTAAGATTTTATTTATTTATTTGACAGACTGAGATCACAAGTAGGCAGAGAGGCAGGCAGAGAGAGAGGGAAGCAGGCTCCCCGCTGAGCAGAGAGCCCAATGTGGGGCTCGATCCCAGGACCCTGAGATCATGACCTGAGCCAAAGGCAGAGGCTTTAACCCACTGAGCCTCCCAGGCGCCCCATTTATTCTTTTTGACATCCGTGAACCTCCCAAATGTATGAGGTTTCTCTAGGATTTAGTTTCTAGTGTTAGGTTTTGATAGAATTTGTGTCATAAGGAGAGTGAAACTGTAGTCATTAGCCTAAGACTTGTATTTTTTACCTTCTTCTACGTGTGGAGACCCATGAATGGAAAGGGTAAAAAGCACAGGAACATGTTGAGAATAACACCACCATTTTATTCCCCCAACAACCCCAAACTGCCAGTCCCAGAGCTCCACCATTCCAGTGGCACCGAGTCTGAGTGAAATGTCTCTTGAAATCATGTCATTTTCTTTACCTTTTCTCGGAGACATTAGCCTGAGCTCATTGAGGAAACTGCAGAAAAGCAAATGGTCTGGATTCTCTTGGCCTTTGAATGATGCCTTGACAAGAAGTTAGAGCCAAGCACAGGTCAGCTGCTATAGGTTTTGCTTGGCGTTCGCCTCGTAAGTCTCAGCCTCCGTGGAAAAGTGTTCAGGCCATCTGGGAGGCATGAGCAGTAGGCTTTTTAGCTTTAGTGTGGGTTTCCTTTCTCCTCATCCCATATGGTTCAGTGTGGAAAAAGAATCACTGCGGAACTGCAGGGAAAGCGTTGTCCTTAGCTAAGGCTTCACAAAGTTTCAATCATGATGAGCTTGAAAGTAAACAGAAGTGGTGAGTTAAGCTAGAATCCGGGTTTTCCTTCAAAACTTTACGGCCAAACTGCTTGGATGTATTAAATGAACACTAGTTTCCATGTACGGAAAATTTTCTTTTCTCATCAGAAGATGAAGAATAGGGATATTTAATTTCTCTATGTAAATATTTTCCTCTACATCCTATATAGTAGTTGTCCTCCTTTAACCTCATCTGGCTGGGGTAGCTACTGGAGAAAACCCATATTACATGAAGGGTGCTGGTGCATCTCAGAATGCCAACCTCAGAAAAACCCTCAGGACTGCACTTTTTTAAATATTTTTTTAATTTTAATTTTTATTTTTTTATATTTATTTTATTATTTTTTTAATTCTTGGGTTTTGAAGTCTCTTTTTCTTTCTGTCACTTTCTTCTACTATTTCATCCATCAGCTATCTTGACCTCACCCCTCCCTTCAGCATCCCCACTTCACTCCTACCTTCTTTCTCCTTATAAAATCTCCTAGCATCCCACTCTCTCCACATGTAAACATATCCTTTTCTTTTTTCTTTCTAGTCTCAGAATATGGGATGTACTTCCTTCTGTCCCTCATCAGTCTTTCTAGAATAATCTATGTAGCTGGACTCTTGGATTATTATTGCCAGTCTCTTCAGATACTGGAGTCTCTTGGCCAACTCCTCTCTCTTCTGTGTCTCTACAATAAATAGTAATATGTAGCTTGAAATGGTTAAGAGTATATAATGTACATAATATAATTATATTTCATAAATATAGAGCATATAAACTTAAATCCTATTGTAACTTTATAACTTCCTCTAGTATTAATATTAGCTGACACCTTTTAAAGTTTTATTATGTGTCAGATACTCCACTATATGCTTTCTATATACTAAAGGGGATAGGGTACTCCTCTCTGGTTTAATAATATATTAACATACAGTTTTGGGGGGGGACTTTGTCCTTCTTCCCTCTTTTCTTTTAGACCAATCCTTCATACCTGGCCAAGCTGATTTTCCAGATGCCACAAAATAAGTCAACTAAATTTATGGACACTGTTATTTTCACACTATACAATTATGCTTCCAATCAGCGAGAAGAGTATCTACTCCTCAAGCTTTTCAAGACTGCTCTGGAGGAAGAAATAAAGTATGTATATAAGTATATATGTAAAAATATCAATGAATAGATCGTTTTTGTGGCAGCTCTGACTTACTAAAATACTGTTTAAATTATCCTTATAAGTTACTCATACATACTCAAGTATATCAAATTGCTTAAGAAATTTCTACATCACTATTGGTATTTCCTGATACAGCCTTCTTGATAGCTTTTTTAGAGCTAATTTAGCTTTTGATTTTGCAAGTAAACAGCAACTTGAAAATCAAAGCTTTTTTGAAAGTCAGTGGAAAAAATTTAAAATCCTGTGACTAATAAAGCTATAAACAGATGGGGATAACAGTCTCTGCCAAAAAGTTTTCTTTTACTTCTCACAGTAAAAGTTAGACTGATTTTTGCTTATTTATTTTCTGATTCAGTTACTGTTTTTTAAAAAATGTGCAAATACCTATATTAAAGGGGCCAAAAAAATACAGGGAAAATGCCCTTAGCCAACAAGATAGATCTCAACTGCTTTCCTACTTGAGCTAGACTGGTTCCTATGGACCTCTGAAGCATGTTAGCTAGGAACCTCTGCCCTCAGAGTATCTGTAAGCCAGCCTCAGAAATAGGATACATGAGAAATAGAAATGTGTGCGCTGAAATAAATAAGTACTAATGAATGATACACACAGTGTAACAGATCAGAGGGATTGAGAGAAAAGTTCCAGGTACAGATGACATTGTAATAGCGATTTAACAGTGTAACAGGACAGACACAGCTGTACTTGTGGGGAACACAGAATAATGTATAAACCTGTCAAATCACTAGCCTCTATGCCTGAAACTAATGTAATGTGTGTCAACTCTACTCAACAGATAAAATATAAGAAAGGGAGGGAGGTAGAAAAGTTCCAGTTAGGTAAGCCGATAAAGACTTTAGGGAGAGGAAGTAGTTGATCCAAATCCTTGAAGAATATCTACAGTTTTTTATAAGAAAAAAATGGAAAAGTAGAAATAAAGCACACTGTTGACAGAAAGCATGGGCCAAAGTCTGCAAAAGACCATAGGATCCTTCTGACCAAAATGAGATTTAACAAGTCACAAACAGGAGATGGAACTAGAAAGATAGGTTGGGCCAGAGTACAGGAGCCACCAAGTCCAGACCCAAGTGCTGAGGCCCTTTTCACCTCCTTGGAAGGCCTGAAAGGTCTTTGAGCAGATTATTGACATGGCCACACTGGGTTTTTTAGAGGATTGATCTGCTTCTGTGTTTGGACAGAATAAATGAAAGCCGTACAGGTCAGAGAAATGGGGGCATCAGAAGGAAAAAAATATAGTTTGGGTTTTTAACACAGTGAGTATGAGCTAGAGGTATAGAATGTGAGGGGGGAAATGTCCAGCCAAAGGTCAGAAATCCAGGACCAGCTCCCAGGGAGGAGAGGTGGATTAGACACTGAGATCAGAGGACAAGTTCCAAGGAGATGGTCCTTGAGACTGCATGCCCGAGTGGGGTGTGAGGGTAGATCATGTAGAAAGACGTGAAAGCCCACAGTTCAAATGTGAGGAGAGGAGCCAGCAAAGGAGACCAAGGGAATGACTGGGTGAGATGAGGACTGGAATACGTCACTCTGAGACACTGAGGGGAAAGGGGGGAGCAGAGGGAGCACGTGGTCAACGTGGGAGGGTGAGAGGCTGCATGGAGGTGAAAGCAAGGCCAATCAGGAAGGCTCACAGGAGCTGGCAATCAGCAGTCAGGAAGGACTCTCTCTGCCACTTGAGGTAGCCAGAAGCTTCCCTGTGGTGCACCTGAGCTCGATTTGAAGAAGTGGAGTCAGTTCGTTGAGTTGAGAACATTGTTTTTAAAATTTGATAACGAGATGGGACACAATGACCCCCTCGATTCTTCTTACTATCTGTCCACTTTCAGTCCCTTCCTGCCTTCTAGATTGAAATTAAAGCCGAGCACTTATTCTCACATCCTTGAGTCCCTCACATAATGAACACACATCTTACAAACAATTGCTTGCTTTTAAACCATGCCGCCTTCAATTTTCATGAAGGAAGTGGAGCCCCATGAAGTCCTTGAGCCCCAGAGAGTACACAGGCTGTTTAAAACTCTACCCACAGAGGCAACCCATTTGTTCTGGTCTGGGCTTCTTTCAGATCAAAGGTGGATCAGGTGCAGGACATAGTGACTGGGAACCCCACGGTCATCAAGATGGTTGTGAGCTTCAACAGGGGTGCCCGGGGACAGAACACGCTGCGCCAGCTCCTGGCTCCGGTGGTGAAAGAGATCCTGGACGACAAGTCCTTGGCCATCAACACGAGCCCTGTAGAGGTGTACAAGGCTTGGGTGAACCAACTGGAAACACAGACTGGAGAAGCCAGGTACCTGAGCCCAGAAGATGTTGGTTTTCAGTCATTTTTTATGATCATTTTTACATGGTTATTATAAATACTCTTAAGCTCTCTTAAAAAAACAAAATTTGCTGTCCAGGGGCAGTTTTCAACTGAAGATGTTCCCTCCCTCTAACATATCCATTCTTGAACTCTCGCACATCTCTATATGACACAGTATTTTCAACATTCAGCACCATTTGATCCCCAAATTCACAACTTCTGTAATTCTCTCCTTTGGTTATTCTTTATGTGTTTCTAAACCTAGACCTGGAAATATTACAGACTTTCTCTTCACCTGATTTTTTTTTTTTTTTACGGTTACCAAGTCAGTAAGTTCCCTGTGTAAGCATTAGTAAGCCAGGTAGGATGGGCTTATCCTGGGTGGTAGTTGGTAGATCTAAGCAATCTCAGCTTTTTATCTTGTGCAAAAGGGTGCCTTGTGCAATCGTTAAGATATGCACAGAGAATTATGTGGATGGTTCTCCCAGCACTGTTTGTAACAGCAAAAAGTTGGGGAAAGTCAAAATATTTAGCTGTGAGGAATTTGTTAAATAAATGTTTGTATAACACATAGTAGACTTAGTAAGTGTTTGGAATAGTGGTATAGAAATATTTTTATTGGCATGGAAAAAATGTTTGTGGTATAATTTCCAGTTGCAGTTGGGTACAGAAAACCATTTTCGATTAAAATACATATATGTGTGTATGATGTATAGATACACACACATATATGTAGGGTCTGTATGGAAAATGTGTATGTATCAACTCTATTATACCCATGTGTGTTAGGCCCACATATACAGATATATACAGTAGGACCTAGAAAGTTATGCACCAAGATATGAAAGATGGTTGTCTCTGGGTTGGTATTATATTCTTGATTGTTTATATGCAGTTTTTTCTGTAATGAACGTACTGCTTTTTTGTAATTAAAAAAAGGGGTACCTGGGTGGCTCAGTGGGTTAAGCATCCAACTCTTTTTTTTTTTAAGATTTTATTTATTTAAGATTTATTTATTGGACAGAGGGCCAGTGAGAGAGGGAACACAAGCAGGGGGAGTGGGACAGGGAGAAGCAGGCTTCCCGCCGAGCAGGGAACCCAATGTGTGACCCGATGACAGGACCCTGGGATCATGACCTGAGCCGAAGGCAGATGCTTAACAACTGAGCCACCCTGGTGCCCCAGCATTCAACTCTTGATCTCAGCTCAGGTCTTAAGCCCAGATCTTGATTTCAGGGCTCTGAGTTCAAGCCCCATGTTGGGCTCCATGTTGGGGAACCTTCTTTAAAAAAGAAAGAAAATTAGATGAGTCTATATCACTTGAGTTGCCTCTTATTTTGCCAAGAGAGCCCCAAGAGAGCCTGCAGTCCCCCTCATCCTTCCAGTGGCAGAGGGACTGTCTGGACACATGGGACCTCCCCTCAGCTGGCAAACATTTTGTCCCCGAGGTCAGTGGGTGATGTCTGCTTCACTGTACAAAGCTTGATTGTAGAAACAGCTTGGCAAGGACACAAATGCTTGTCCCTAAGCCCTCAGTTAATTGAATGCCCCTGTTGTGTTTTCAGCAAGCTGCCTTATGATGTGACCACTGAACAAGCTCTAACATACCCAGAAGTGAAAAACAAACTGGAGGCATCCATTGAGAACCTGAGACGGGTCACCGACAAAGTCCTCAACTCTATTATTTCTTCCCTTGATCTTTTGCCGTAAGTTGTACACGTAGCGACTTGAACTTTCTTCCCTGCAAGTTCTTGCAACACGATGGGACATAAATCCTCACAGTGGAGATAGGCGTTTTCCCTCGTGCGGTTTTAACACGATTTTAAAAGTTTGCCTGCGTTTGCATTGGAAATTTATAACTGTTCTTCAAAGAGGGAACACTAAAAACAGTGCCCAGTGACGAACATCAGCAAAGGTCCTGTGATTCTGTTACCATCTCATTTTATGTTTAATTTTTTAAGAAAATTGCTCCGCTGTGTTTGATGAGAACAACTGCTTTGTGTTTCTTTCTCACTTAGCCTTTTCCCATTCTTTTCTTTTGTCATCTGTTCTGCATGTAGTTATGGATTGAGGTATATAGCGAAAGTACTGAAGAATTCGATCCATGAGAAATTTCCTGATGCCACAGAAGATGAGCTATTAAAGGTAGATTTTCGAGGGTTGTCTCTCCATAGCTTCTCTTGGGGGCATGAGCCAGAATAATTACCAGCATAACATTTTGTGAGATTTCTTCCCCCTCCATATGACTGTTTATAAAAAGCTGCAGGTCTTCCGTTTTGAATGACTGTCAAGGTTATTGATGATGCTGAAATTCCTTTAGAGATCTCTCACACATTATTGAGTTTCTTTATAGTAGTGCATCTGGGGGCAATGTGCTCTAATTAACCTAGGTTTTACCAAAAATAATTTGATTAACTATATTGGTAATGTGGGACTCTTTTGACTACCCTTACAGAACTCATTTTTAGGATTCAGATCAGAAAAGGATCTTTCTTGGGAAGCAGCAATGAATATTTACTTCAATTTTTAATAGTCTAAAACCCTTGGGTTGTTTCTCTTAAAAATGGTCTTTTCCTCTGCATTCCTTCAGATTGTGGGGAACCTCCTGTACTACCGGTACATGAACCCAGCTATCGTGGCTCCTGACGGCTTCGATATCATCGACATGACCGCCGGAGGTCAGATCAATCCCGACCAAAGGAGAAACTTGGGGTCAGTGGCCAAAGTCCTTCAGCATGCGGCCTCCAACAAGCTGTTCGAAGGAGAGAACGAGCATCTCTCCTCTATGAACAATTATTTATCAGAGACGTATCAAGCTTTCAGGTGAGAGGAATCATTACTTTTGGAGAAACTTGTGAGATGATAAGGAAGAGTCCTGTGTGCTCTGTACCGAGAAGTAAAGTTGGGGATGAGGATTGGGAACCTCAGGGGACGGTGTTTATTTCTTCTTCTTGCTAACATGGCGGGAAAAGAACAGGCTGGGTCCCTTCTGCCTGAGGCTCCCCATCCCACCCCTACCCCTAGGGCCTCTGCTATCCTGAGTCATCTCCAGATTTTTTTTTTTAAGATTTTATTTATTTATTTGACAGAGACCACAAGTAGGCAGAGAGCCAGGCAGAGAGCCAGGCAGAGATAGAGAGAGAGGAGGAAGCAGGCTCCCCGCTGAGCAAAGAGCCCGATGCGGGGCTCGATCCCAGAACCCTGAGATCATGACCTGAGCCAAAGGCAGAGGCTTAACCCACTGAGCCACCCAGGCGCCCCATCCCCAGATGTTTGATTTCTCCTGTGGACAGAATGAAACCTTTATTCTTCCTGGTGTGCTACAGGTTTAGAGGACTTAAAATAAAAGTCAGAAGAGCTGATTTCTTCTTCATTGAACTTATGAAGAAGGTGTTTGGTTCCATTTTCTTTAAGAATGTGTCCAGTGAGAAAGAACTTGCTTATCTGCAACAGACAACAGGACACTGAGTATTCAGTTTTTAAAAGGCTAGGGAAATCCAGCTTTCATATTTGTTGAGGATTATATATGACAATGTTCTATTCTTTAACCTCTGTTGTCACCCATATAAGACTTAGGTCTGTTGCCTTAATAGGCATTTCCAAATTCTATCACTGATCTTCCCATGGAAACATGAAAGGCGTGTGTTTGGTAGGAAGATCCATTCCCCCTCAAGCTCTCCACGGAAGCACATTCAACTTGGCGTTCATTTTTTTCTCTTTTTGCCATTCAGTCAGTTGGTCATAGAAATAAAACATAAATGCAGCCTCTATAACTGCTCAGTTGGAAAATTGATTTCCCACTCCTCAGTTTTTCTCTGGAAGAGTAAATTATCTGCTCACAACGGTAGTTCATGATCATTATTTTCTATTTTTAGAATTGTGGCCTCTTGTGAGAAAATTCCCTCCAAATCCTCTTACTACAGGAAGTTTTGGTATCTCAAGCTGCTAATTTTAGTTCTTCTCACAGAGGAAAAATGTACTGCTTCTTGCACATCCTTATCTGCTACTACAACTTCCTTTTACTTCCGTTTTTCTCAGATTATTCTTATCAAACATCTGTGGTTCCAGCTCTTCTTCAAAAAGAAACAAAACCAAAGTCCCCCCTCTTCTTCCTCTTAAATTCATATTTTTTCCTCTCACACTTATATTTATTCTATGTGTTCCTCAGCAACCTATTCAAAGTGTAGGAAGCCAAACTGTCAAAAAAAGTGTAGAAGGACCAACTGTCACATGGAAACGTGCTCCTCTCCCATGCCACCATGGCTGCCTGCCAGTTAACCTCTTCAGCCTTGGGCTGGAAGGTAGAGGCCTTTTGGATATATAAGCCTTGGGTATCCACAGGAGATAAATCAAGGATAATTTCAGGCACAGGCATGTGAAAATTGACTGCAGGGGAGCCTGGGTGGCTCAGTCTGTTAAGTGTCTGACTCTTGATTTTGGCTCAGGTCACGATCTCAAGGAGATTCTCTCTCTCTCTGTACCCCCAACCCCTTCCCAGGCACGGACACTCCCTCTCTCAAATAAATAAGTCTTTTAAAAAAATAGATTCCCTCTCTTTCTCCTTCTGCACCTCCCCACTTGCACTCTCCCTCCTAAAAACAAAACAAAACAAAATAAAAAAAAAAAAAAGAGGGGCACCTGGGTGGCTCAATCATTCAGCTCAGGTCATGATCCCAGCATCCTGGGATGGAGCCCTGCATTGGCCTTCCTGCTCGGTGGGAAGTCTGCTTCTCCCTTTCCCACTCCCCCTGTTTGTGTTCCCTCTCTTAAAGAAAAGAAAAGAGGAAAGAAGAAAGAGAGAGGAAGAAAGGGAGGAAAGGAGGGAGGGAGGGAGGGAGGGAGGGAGGGAGGGAGGAAGAAAAAGGAAAAGAAAGGGAGAGAGAGAGAGAAAGGAAGGGGAGGTGGGAGGGAAGGGAAGGAAGGAGGAAGGAAATTTACCACCTTATAGAATGAAATACCTTCTCTGCCCATACAAGAGAACCTAAGCCATGATCAGAGCCCCTGGCTTTCTTGAACTCCCCGTCTAAATTTGCTATTATCTAAGGAGGAGACTTTTTAGAATCTGATTACTGGGGGAATGGGACATGGTATGTATTGGTGTTTTTAGCATTAACAGTTTTTCCATTAGTCAGCAACTGTTGTTTGAATCAACTAGGAGTAGTGTAGGCTTAACTTGAATTTCAGTCACTTTGGCAACAAAAGCTCTGAAGGGTTATTAGGCCCAGGAACTTGTGCCATTTAAAGGAGCACATTTGGACACCTGGATGGCTCAGTTGGTTAAGCATCTGGCTTCCGCTCAAGTCATGATGCCAGGGTCCTGTGATGGAGGTCCACATCAGGCTCCCTGCTCAGCGGGGAGTCTGCTTCTTCCACTCCTTCTCCCTGCCTGCAGTCTCTCTCAAATAAATAAATGAAATATTTTTAAAAATAAAGTAGCACATTTGATAAATTGCTTTCCAGATTATTTTCTCTAGAAAGACTTGATTCTTAGATCAAACACTATCCGTCTTGACATTTTTGTTTAAATTTCAGGGGATCTGTTTTCAAAATAACATTTTTTAAATAACCTGCCCATAATTTGACTACATTAAGTCACTAGCAGACGTGAGGCTGTGTTGCTCTCTCTATTCCTGCTCAAGTTGCTGGGTCCAACATATGGAAACAGGGACTCAGCTTCTAGAGTTAGGAGCCATTCTGGAAGATTCTGTAACAAGTGCCCCCCTTCCCAACACACACACACACACACACACACACACACACACACAGTTTGGGATGGAGAATAAAGCACTAGTCATAATTCATGATTTCCTCAGTGTTTTGACAAAGCTATTTTGAATTCTGTCTTAAGCATTTGTTTTCTCTGTTAGGAAATACTTCAAAGAAGCCTGTAATGTCCCTGAGCCAGAAGAAAAGTTTAATATGGATAAATACACAGATGTGGTGACAGTCAGCAAACCCGTCATTTATATTTCAATTGAAGAAATCATCAGCACACATTCAGTAAGTAGGGTCTTAGCACGTTTCAGATGCTGTTTTCTTGAAAATGCTTAGCCTCTTCGGGGCTTCCTGTAAGCATGTGCTAATAATACTAAACTCAACATCCTAAGAAACCTTTGATTATTTATTCCCTGACTTATATATGAATAAGATTTCTTTTCCCAAACAAGTCACGTTTACTTTTTACATGGTGCGTTTATTCCCGCTAGTACATAATAAAACTCCTCCCAAACCAGCCAAGTTTTCTTCTTACATGATCTGTTGACAAAGTCAGCCTGTGAATGTAAAGTTTAAGTCCTGAGCAGGGATGGGTCCTGCTATTTCCTCTACCCACCAGGGCTACACTGCCTGAACCCCCACAGTATTTCTCTTCCCCTTTGTAGAATCTTCCCAGCTTTTCCTTAAAATTCTGGGATAATGAGAATATTCTCTCTCTTCTAATGTTGGACATAAAGAGAGGGGAAAATAGGCTGTTCAAGGTTAGGAAAGAGAGGACACCCCACCCAACATTAGCTGTCTGCAAAGAATCATTTCTCTTGTTCTGGAAAACCCCATTTCTCAAGGCAATTTCATAGTCTGTGGTATGTCATAATGTCTCCATCCAGAGGGCATGCAAATATCACCACCATCAGCCATGAAAGGAATATTAAGCGCCTATTGGGGTCAGGGCACTTAGCTCAGCACAGGAAAGCCTTAGATGGCTTCTTAATCATTTAAAGTTAAAAAAGAGGCTAAGTGTTGAGAGTATCTTTGGTTTTTTGGGTTTTTGGTTTTTAAGACCACTTGGAACATATTTCTTGCAAAACCTGATTTCTAAAAGATAACCTTTTTGAAAAGTGCTTACCACCTTGCTCCTCTAAGAGAAGTCTTAGGGACATGTTAGAAAAGCACTCCAGACCTCCCACATCAGAGCTTACACTCTGCAAGAACCCAGGTTCTGAAGAGACACACTAGAGGTCAAGAAGCCTTCATTAATCATATACCCAGTTTGGATTACACACAACTAGGAGGAAAGCATAACAAATAACACACCTCCGAATGGTCTTGTCCTGCCCATCAAAGCAGATACACTAAGAGATGACAAAATTGGCTGCTAAAATTTCAGTCCATGTTATCAAGTTCTTCCAACAAACTAAAGCTTGAACAGGTTTAGAAGAAAGATTGGATCTTCTTTTGATTTCCCTCTTTCAGGGTTGGAACAAGGAACCCCCCTAACAATTGCAACAAGTTCTCTATGTGTATTTTAAGTGACCTTAATCAATGGTTGGTTGGAACGGCCAGCCGAAGGAGTGAGTTGGTTGATCAAATGAAGAGGCTATACTTCTTTTCTCTATGTATAAACACTCAAAATCATAGAACATGTCCAGCAATGCAACATTTGCAACATTGCTCTAATGAGCGAGTGGACTCATTCATATTTGAGCAACCACTGTTGTCTATTTTATGGTAGATTATCCATCTCAAAAAAATGTCCACACACTGGCTACACATTTGTTGAGGGCAGTATCTTTCTGAAGAAGTGGTAGGGAGTTCTCTTTTGGAATGAGACATTCTTTCCCAGGGATAGCAGAGAAAAAAAATGTTACTGTGTTAATTTAGACTGTTACTCTTTAATGAGAAATAGTCTGTTCTTTTTGTTAACAAAAATTGAAAACAGAGGATTCTGCTTTCCTGGGAAATCTAGCTTGTGACCAGCTTGGATTTTCTTCATGTGTTAGGTTGGAAGCAGATGTATAACGTGGGAGTATTGTAATTGCAGAGGAAGACTATCCTGTTTACGGTCTGTCTCAAAAGAGGAGGTGTCCCCATGTACACAGAAACTTGGCTTCAGCTCAACCCACCCAGCCTGTGACTCCCTGTCCTCTAAGGAACACGGAGACCCTCAAAATAAGCTCTTCAAAGAGACATTTTCAAAAGATATTTATGTTCTTTAATTACCAGAATAAAGGGTCAAAGCTAGCTGCCTAAATCCTCACTCCCCAGACAGCAGCCAAATCAGCTCTCCTGTCTCTTCAGAAAACAAGAACATAAATTTATCCTTTGTTTTGTTCTGTCACTAAAGTACCTTCCTCCAAAAATATACATACTACCATTCCAGATGCCACCATGTCATTTTATCTCCTTTGTTACTTACATAATGCCTTTCTTTACTCACCTTGGATCCTTTTGGGGATTGCGTAGCAGAAGAAACACCTGGTACATCCGGGTCTCAGGCCAAGGGACCATATGGGCATTTCTGTGATCCCTACCCTTGAAAGATCTTCAATGGCAGACAGATTAAAATAGCTTAATGGTGATTTTTTTTATAGCCATAGTGTTTGATTACTGCTTAATTTCTCTGTGAAGAGATATTGAAACGCACTTTTAGTTTACCCCCAGTATTAGTCAAGAGACTTCTGCCCCATTGTAGCCCTTTCCTCTCCAACTCTGACCTTTTCAGTCAAGGTGGACTAGAGCACAGGGATTAAGTGGTAAAAGGCTGCTCTGAGGCATATCTCACAAGATCTTGCTGAAAGAGGGTTTGTGGACATCTCTCACAAAGCTCCAGTTTCTTTGTGTAAAGTAAGCACTTACTGCTAAGATAATATTGAAAACTGTGTGTCCCTGTGGTCTCTAATTTCAATAAATGTCAAACTTGTAATTAAGATTCCAACAGTAGGGGCACCTGGCTGGCTCAGTCAGTAGAGCATGGGACTCTTGATCCTCAGGGTCATGAGTTCAAGCCCCACACTAGGCGTAAAACTTACTTTAAAAAATATATAAAAATTAAGTCCCAAACAGTATTAGAAGAACCTCATCTTGGAAAACCGGAAAGGGAACGTGTAAAAATGGTAGCACTTACGAGCTTACTTTTGTTTGTGTCTCTGTGTTTATTGCTGTCTCTATAAAGCTCCTGTTGGAACACCAGGAGGCGATTGCAGCTGATAAACAGGACTTGCTGAATGAACTACTGGAATCGCTGGGAGAGGTACCTAGTGTGGAGTCCTTTCTTGGTAAGAGCTTCTTCTGCCTCCTACTTATCCTGTGGTTTGTGTTTAGTTGTTCAGTTTTCCTATTCTAGATCAAACAAGTCTTATTGCTTAACCTTACTTAAGAAGGTAAATACACTAGCCCCCATCCTACATTAAGAGTTATGTAATTCGGGTGCCTGGGTGGCTCAGATGTTTAAGTGTCTGCCTTCACTGGGTCATGATCCTGGGGTCCAGAGATAGAGTTCCGTGTTGGGCTCCCTGCTTAGTGAGGAGCCTGCTTCTCCCTCTGCCTCTGCCCTTTCTCCTTGCTCTTGCTCACTCTCTCTTTCATGAATAAATAAACAAAATCTTAAAAAAAAACAAAAACAGTTCTGTAATTCGTCCTAGGTTACAAAGCAATTAGGTATTCTTGGAAATAAACTCTAGATGGATCAAAAGGGATTAGTCAACCTGTACATAAAGAAAAGAAATCATTAAAGAGCCAAGTTTATTACAAATTCCTTGTTGAGTTTTATAAGGATTTCTTTTATTAAGTTCTCTCTTTTAGTAATATTTTCATGTTTTGAGTTTCTGGGCTCCATGTTATTTTAAAGTTCAAATCAGAGATTTTTTTAAGGGGTGACTGGCTGGCTCAGTTGGTGGAACATGCGACTCTTGATCTTGGAGTTGCGGGTTCTAGCTCCATACTGGGAGTAGAGAATATTTCAAATCTTTAAAAGAGAGAGAGATCTTAAAAGTCTCTTGCAATGTATTAGAATGTGTTTTGTTTTGTTTTGTTTTATGAAGACCATTATCCCTGTACAACTGAGCCTGTCTTTCCCATAGAACCTTTATCTTGCGTTGCAGATGCCAACGCAATGAGTGAATGGTAAGAATAACAATGTTTTATTTCTGCAGGGGAAGGAGCAGTTGACCCCAATGACCCTAACAAAGCAAATACACTAAATCAACTCTCAAAGATCGAGATTTCCCTTTATTTGACAAGCAAGTATGACCTAGGGGATGGCGAAGCTATAGATGGCCAAAGCCTCATGATAAAGTAAGTTTGGGGCATAATGGGCACATTGTGTCTCTGATTGCGCATCTTAAAACATGCAAATTTAAATAGGCTGAATCCCCAAATAATTGACTTTGATGTATATAAATATTGAAATATGTTGTTTATTCATCAAACATCTGACCAACAGATAATGGACTACTTATCATTTAAGAAGAAACTAAATATTATAATAGTTTATAAAGCCCATCTTGTTTTTCGGTTTTCCATGTAGCAATTTGATTCCTTTCTGTTAAGAAACAAAGTGATTAATTCTGCCTGTAAAAGTCCTGAGGTAATTAAAGGGAAATAACTGTTTCTGAGTGGTGAAAAGATTAATGAGGAAATACTCAAGACCATATTTAATGTCTGGTATCCAGTGTTGATATAAAAGACGCACCACAGTAGGACCGAACACTGTCATTTGCTTTATTAACCTTCTTTCCTGTTACACTAAGCCCAGATATGTTTACCAGCTTTCATTTATACCCTAGTTTCTGCCCCCGAGAATTTACAGTGAAGCATTCATGATTTTATACTGTATTATTTCCATCAAGGCCTCTGGATGTTCCATACCAGCCCTTTACACACGGAGTAAGAAAGAATGAAATCCATCACTATAAATCAAAACACCATAAGCCAAAACATATGCTCACCAAACAATACAGTTTTTAAGAACTTAAAAACAAAAGGATGCATAAGTCAGTTGTGTATTAGACTGAGGTAGAGAATGGAAGTAGGAAATGGGGCCAAAATGGAATAATTACGTATTTAAATAATACTTCACACATTACTTCCAAGTTATATGTCATGAGTTCTGAGGTGGTTTTTATTTGTAACGAGAGCTATCCTTCCTGCCCCGACAGGATTCCAACAGCCCTCACCTCCAGTTAATTTTTTTCCAGCTGTTCATTATCATCCATTAAAATGGTGGGAAAAAACCTAGTGTCCTTTGTTCCCACCCGTGCTGCTTCTTTTTGGCTTCCTTAGTTTGTCCTCAGATTATCTAAGGCCTGACCTGTATTCATGTACCAAATCTTCAGGACCTGCTCTGTGTCCATGGCCCTGGCTTGATGCTGGGGCTATAGCAGTAAGCAAGCCATTAACGGTCTCTCTCCTCCGGGTGTCTGAAGTCCGCTGGTAGAGAGCAGGACAGAGGCCAAGCTGCAGGACTCTTACACAGCCTTGCCCTCAGAAGAGGAGTTGAAGGCAGTTCCTTAGACTACTAAATAGCAAGTCAGGTTGAATTTGCAGAGAGACAACGCAGCGCAGGGCGGCGGAGGCAAGGGGGGAAACTGCGCAGTCTGTTCTCTGGGTTCCTGGGTGAAAGTGCCAATTGTAAAGGGAACTGGAAATGCAGATTGTATGGTTCTGCCATACAAATTAAATGAGGCCGAGCAGCCTATGATCTCATAAGCTTTGTCCTTACAAGTCATGGGAGGAAATTTTCTCATAATTGGTTTGTTCTTTTATTTGAACATCATTTTCTAAAGGCAGTCAACTCAAATACGTGCATTAATGAATGGAAATCACAATGTGAGTAGTCTAAAATGTCAAATAATCTCAATGTCCTGTATTTATATATATTTATACTTCTTTCTGAAGAGTCTCCATGGGTCTGTGAACTTTTGGAATTCATTTTAAAAGCAGAACCATACAAGTCAGGCCTGTTGGGCAGCCATATGTCTTAGGGGGAGAAACCTGGTCCATTGTCCTACCTGCCTCAGCCCTTGGAGGTCTCTGTCGCAGCTGCAAACAAATAGTGTCTAAGTAGAGCCACTCATTTTTTTCTTAAGTGGTAAAATATACATAGCACAAAATTTACCGTTTTAACCTTCTAAAGTGTACAATTCAGGGGTATTTAGTACATGCAGAATGTTACACAAATATCACTATTTTCTAGTCCCAAAACATTTCATCACCCCAAAAGTAAACCTCACACCCATTAAGCAGTCACTCCCACCACCCCAGGACATCTTTCCAAGCCCTGCTCTTTAGTCCCTGGTCCCTGATGCTTTCTGTCTCTGTGTACTTGCCTAACTGGGTATTTCATATAAATGGAATCATACACTGTGTAGCTTTTAGTGTCTGGCTTCTTTGACTCTGCATAGTGTTTTTGGCTGGATAATACTCCATTGCATGGAAATACCACATTTATCCTGGACGTTTGGGTTGTTTGCACCTTCTGACTATTGTGAATAGTACCTCTACGAACATCAGTGTGCAAGTTTTTATTTGAACACCTGTTTTTGGTTCTTTTGGGTATAAACCTAGGAATGGAATTGCTGGGTCTTAAGGTAATATTAAGTTTAGCTTTCTAAGGAACTGCCAAACTTTCCTCACGTTGGCTTTACCATTTTATATTCCTACCACCAAGATGTAAGTGTTCCAATTTTTCCACATCGTCACCAACACTTAGGTTCTGTTTTGCCTTGTTGTTATAGCCATCCTAGTGTGTATGAAGTACTATCTCATCAACGCATTGATTTGCATTTCACTGATGATTAATAACATTGAGTGTCTTTCCATGTCCTTGTCAGCCGTTTGTATACCCTCTTTGTAGAAATGTCTACTCAAGTCTTTTGCCCGGTTTTTTAAATTGGATTGTTTGTCTTTTCATTGCAGAGTTCTAAGCATTGCTTCTATATTCTGGATAGTAAACCCCTACCCGATTTATGATTTGCATATACTTTGACCCCTTCTGTCGGTTGTCTTTTTATTCTCTTGGTAATATCCTTTCATGCATAAAAGTTTTTTAACTTGATAACGGACAGTTAATCAATTTTTTTGTTGTTACTTGTCCTTTTGTTGTTATGTATAAGAAATCATTGCCCAATCCAAGGTCATGAAGATATACTCCTATTTTCTTCTAGGAGTTTTATAGTTTTTGTTTTTATATTTTACTTTTTTATTTTTATATTTTATATTTAGGTGTATTATCCCTTTTGAGCTAATTTTTGTGTTTGGTGTAAGGCAGTAGGCCAACTTCATTTTTTTGCATGTGGATGTTCATTTGTCTTACAACCATTTCTTCAAGACACTATTTTCCTCAAATAAATGGTCTAGGTACCCTTGTCAAAAGCCAGCTGACCACACATGTATGCCTTTCTGGACTCTTCATTCTATTCCATCCATCTATATGTCAGTCCTTATCCTAGTCCCATGTTGCGTTGATCACTGTAGCTTTGTAATAAGTTTTGAAACTGGTGAGTCCTCCAAGTTGTTCTTTTTCAGGAAGACTGTGGTTACTTGGGGTTCCTTGCAATTCAGTGTGAATTGTAGAATAAACTTTCTCATTTCTATAGAAAGGCTTTTGGGCAAGTGTTTGAATAATTCTTGATGATCTACTGCTTTCCTAGACCTCTGGGGTCTAGATAGCCTTCCTCTGGGCATACTTTGAGATCCTGCTATAGGCAGAGCTCTTCAGTAAGCACTCCAGTCCGTGGTCAGTGTGAAGTGAAAACCTGAAACAAGGGGCGCCTGGGTGGCTCAGTGGGTTAAAGCCTCTGCCTTCGGCTCAGGTCAATGATCCCGAGATCCTGGGATCGAGTTCCGCATCGGGCTCTCTGCTCGGCGGGGAGCCTGCTTCCTCCTCTCTCTCTCTCTCTCTCTCTCTGCCTGCCTCTCTGCCTGCTTGTGATCTCTGTCAAATAAATAAATTAATTAAAAAAAAAAAAAAACCTGAAACAAAGATTGACCCAGTAGACTTCTGTGAAAGTGGAATTTGGGTATTGCCCAAAAGATTCAATAGAATTAGCTCCATGATATTAGGCAAACCTTACCTTCAAAGACATTATACTTTAGGTATATATTTGAAAATCTTGCTAATAATAGATAATTATAAAATGTGTCAGTGATAGCAAGCTTAGAGACCATCTAGTCCACATCTCTATCTTTGAGGTGAGGAAATTTAAGTCTCAAATTATGGGAAGCAAGTAGCTAGTCACTGACATGCTTTAAATTCATAAGCCCTTTATCATGGATATTTCATTAGTAGACACCTTAAATATTGATTTGAAAACTCTAATGGGGATGTCTTTTTTCCAAGCTAATAAACCAAATTCCGAACTCAAACATAATGTATAGTTTTTGGAGATTTTCTTTTTTTTTTTTTTTTTTAAGATTTTATTTATTTATTTGAGAGCGAGACAGTGAGAGAGAGCATGAGCGAGGAGAAGGTCAGAGGGAGAAGCAGACTCCCCATGGAGCTGGGAGCCCGATGTGGGACTCGATCCCGGGATTCCGGGATCATGACCTGAGCTGAAGGCAGTCGTCCAACCAACTGAGCCACCCAGGCGTCCCAGTTTTTGGAGATTTTCATTACAGAACCAAATTTAACTAAAATCAGACAACACCTTTCAGAAGTTAATGGGAAATGGACAGTCATGGAATGCAGAACATTTGGGACATGAAAATACCTGGCTTTCCTCTATCAAAAACAAAACTATTTTGCTTCCTCCTTAAACAGGTTGTGTTTTTAACTTTCAGAAATGTCCTCTTATGATTAATTACAAAACAACTAGCCTTACAGTGATGAGTAACTCATCACCATGGGGGCATCTGCCATAGAAGAATTTGAGACATTTTTTTTTAAGATTTTATTTATTTGTTTGACAGCGATAATAAGTGGGCAGAAAGGCAGGCAGAGAGAGAAGCGGGGAGAGCAGGCTTCCCACTGAGCAGAGAGCCTGATGTGGGGCTCGATCCCAGAACCCTGAGATCGTGACCTGAGCCGAAAGCAGAGGCTTAACCCACTGAGCCACCCAGGCACCCTGAGACATTGTTAATCCTTATGCTTATAAACTTTATATTATGCTAGCTTTATAATTCTCAGTAATTCGATGAAAATGATAGCAAACACCTATGTAATGTTACCACATGAAAGGGACTATCTTATAGATACAGATAAATAAAAATATGTATGTATATTATATACTTATATATTCCATTATATATATATATAATATTCCAGATATTACATATCTATATAAATATAGATATAGATATAGATGAAATCTGTTATGTTATATCTCAGCAATCATAAGAGGCAGAGGTTATTATCTCTATTTTATGCAGAGACACAGAATTCTGTCTCTCACAGAAGAGACAAAAACTCTTTCCTAGTTAATATGGCTAGTAAGAGGAGAATAGGTTCACACTCAGATGATCTTAACTCTTCCAGGATCTGCCCTCTTGATTACAAGATTTTACAACTCATTGAGGGCAAGGCCACTACTCTTTGTACCTTTGGGAATCTTGGAATAAATCATGAGAATGATAGCAGAGCAGTTTCTTCGTAACTGATGCTGGGGGATCTTTCCACGCCAGAGAGGAAAGACTGACCAATCGATGGGAAGGATGTAAAGGCACAGACGGGAGTAGGAAGAACACTGTCTTTCCCTTCTGTATGTGAATGGAATAAGGTTCCTCAGTTTGGGCTTTTGCCATTTTGCCAATACTACCAAGCCTGGTGATACTGAAAGAACAAACCCAAAAATCCTGGTTGAGGCCTCCTGGGGAGACCTGGAATTACAGCCTCAGTCTGGCACTTACTGGCCATGGAACTCTGAGCAAGTCACCTCAGCATCAGTTTCCTCATCTCTAAATGGGGAAGAGGGCAGACGGAGAGGGGAAGGAAGGGATACAATGAGGCAAAGAAGGCATGTATTAACACTGTATAAATTATAGAAAACTACATAATCATAAATCTTTCTCATGATAACTCATGATTCCACTTCAAACGTGTGATCTCTGGGGCTCCTGGTGGGCTCAGTTGGGAGAGCATTTGATTCTTGATCTCAGGATCATGAGTTCGAGCCCCATGTTGAACGTAGAGCTTACATTTAAAAAAAAAAAAAAAGTGATCCTCATGACCTTTTTAAGCTTGTTTTTCTACCAAAGTACGTGTGTTTCAGTAGAAGGCAACATTTGTGGATTTAATCAAACTTAGTTGCCTGGGTGCTTCAATCGTCATTTCTCAGGAACTTTTTTTCCCTATCCCATGATTCAGTTGAGGCACCTAACATCCCACCTGAAAGACATCTTTACTTTTGGTACAAACTCGCATGGGCCCTAAATGGCTAAGTTGATACTTGATGTCTGGTGATAAAAATGAAGAATCATGCCAGAAGAATTTTAAACAACTGGAAATATTCCTTAGATTGCACAAACATGAATTTCTTTTCAAACTTGGGCAAACTGTAAGGCAGATGGCAGGGTGGGGGGAGGGATGCTAGAGATGCTACTGGTCAGACCATCATCAAAGATGCCATAGGAGTGGAATGGCCAAGTCTAAGGAGCCACACCAACACGTGGTCTCATTAACCAACAATAGGACTTGAACACAGCTGCGGTGAACAAACTCCCTGCTGTGTTTCTTTTTCTCTTAATTCTTCCCTAGAATTAAGGTTCTTGGTCTCATTGGCCTGGTGTCTTACCTATTGCTGGAACAGCCAGGGAACCAGTCCTCCAACCAGTTAGTTGATTTATGGTGGTTAGACTATATATAGAATATTGTGTTTGCATTGGGGTGAGGAGGGGACACATCTTAAGATCATTGGCAAACAGATGGGAGCAAAACTGTTAATTCTGTTTAAATCTTATTGTGAAGAGGCTTAAGGAACTGGGGGTTTCACTTGCAGAAAAAGAAAGGAACTGGGGGTTCGCTTGCAAAAAGAAAGGAGTGGAAGAGAGGATGGGGACACAATTTGGGCCTCTCTGCAGGTTTGTGAGGGGCTGATGATATGGAAAGTGAATTCAACTTGTTTTTTGTAACTCTAGAAAAATAGTATAACCTCTCTCTAACTCTAGAGCCTCTAATGTCTTAGTTGCCTCACTTGTATGATCAGGGGTTGGACTGTTTCCCAAAGGTTCGCCTCAGTGCTGAAGTCCCATGACTAACCAGGTCCAGTGAGTGGGATTCACTGGAAGGCAGGCCTCTTAGAGTGAGCTTGCTATGTAAGAATGGAATGTTCCAATGTGTACTTGCCAAAATAAATTCAAAATGAGCCACACAAGAAATTACATTTTGAAAAGAAACAGGTGAAATTAATTTCAGTCTGTGTAATCCAATATATTGAAAATGTCATTACTTCAATATGTAATTAATGTAAGAAATTGTTAATTTTTTCATATTTAAACATTCATAATGTGGTGTGTGTTTTACACCTATAACACATCTCAGTTTGGACTAGCCATGTTTCAAGTGGTCCATTGCCATCTGTGGCCAGTGGCTGCCATCTTGGGCAGCAAAGCTTTAATGACCATGTGGATGCTTACCACATGTCAGACCCTAGTGAGCGGCTTTACATGTGACTTTTCATTCAGTCCTAAGTCCTCTGAGAGATTCTGATTCTATAAATGAAAAAAACAGACTCATTGGGATTATATAAATTGCACAAGTCCACACAACTAGTAAGCCACAGGAGGCCCAAATGGACCTTAGATCTGTCTTGTCCCAGCGCCCTTAACCATTAGCATACTGCAGGGGGAGACAGTGAGTTCCCTGTCCTGAAACAGGATAGTTAACTTACATGTGAGATGTCTGGGGTGGAAATTTGGCGGTGGATTCCACAGGCTAGACATAAAGCTGAATTCCAATAGAAAGACCTAGTATAGCTAGTTTGTGCTTGAACGACTCCTTAACAAACAAACATTCTTTGTCCCTGGTATGCCCGCTTTAGTGACCACAGTCATTTTGGTCATTAGATACCCTCTCTAAAGAAACGAGCTAGGAGTTTTCTAGAAAGATAGATCATAAGTGGTTCTTAGAATTTTATTGCCAATATGAAACCATCACTGTGTTGACATTTTTAAAATCATCCAGTGCTTTTATTTTTAACTTGATGCTCCTGTTAAAGATATTAATGATGATTAGAAGAGGGAGTTATGTGCGGAGGAAACAAGACTTGGCTCTCTAAACTACAGCTGCCTTAGGAGCAGTGCCCTCTCCCCCAAGGCTATAATTAGCTGTGTATCCACCTTGGACTCTCCAGGGAGGGTTCGGACATTCCCAGACAGCCTGTAAATCCCCAGCAGGGAAAGGTCATGGGTCAGAGGAAATAGCTGTAATCATTCTTCTCATACAGACCGGCAGTAAATAAGAAATGACAAAAGTAATATTTACAAATGGTTTCTTGGATTTTATCCTATTTTCAAAAATAAGATATTTGGACTTCACTTTGAGGGCTTCCTCTGTCATTGGCCCCAATGCTTCAAAACATGAACAGTGTTTTGTTTTCATTTTCCTATTTTCATGCCGTGTGAACATTTCCTACTATAAATGAAGAAGAAAGACATCATCCAGTGATGGCATGCCATGCCTTTCAAAGAAATGATGTTAAATCCAGCAGGGCAGCAAGAACAGTGAAACTAAAGTCATCAATTAGACCTGTTTATAATTTAAGGCGGCTCTTTAAGTGTCTCTGTTTTTCGGAAGGGCAGCTATATCCAAAAATAATTTTCCACTCATGTAAATGTACACACACAATTGACCCTTTGCCTTTTATGTTGAAATCTTTTCACATCACTACATAAACCAGTCTCTGAGGAGGATGGCCATGAAGGACACATGTGAAATAGTATTGTGGTTTTAGCACTTTCAGTGGAATTTCCTAGCCACTAGCACTTTACTGAGCAACTCCTCTATTTTTGGCCCCCTGGAGACAAGGACACAAGCCCACCTGTTAGCTCATCCACCAGACCCAAGGTTCTCGAACACCACTGGCCTCAATGCTGTGTCAGCTGGCCGCCAAAGCTGCCCCAGCCCACCTGGGACCATTGCTCCCACTGGCCTTCCAAATGTTCCATAACTGTCTCAGACTAGGAAGAGTAACCGTTGGCCTGGCCCCTAAGGGCTTATAAAGTACTAAACAGGCTCAGAAGCTTCAATTTTAGTAAAGTCGGGAAAGAGGGTATTAGCTATCATTCCTGCATCCTCTGCGGTAGCAACCCATACCGGCAGCGCAGCCCTCCTGCTCATCAGAAGTTGTCTCCGTCTAAAGAGAAGAAAAAGTACTTAGAGAAGGAATCGAATGACATACTCGTCCCCCTGTTACTGACAGCATAATCCCACAACATCCAGTATGTAAAACCCAGACTTTGAAGATAAAGCGTTCACAAACTTGCCTCAGAGCACATGTGAATTTCCGAAAGACTCTTCTACTTTAAAGGGTTATCTTCAAAGCTTCATTTTTATGTGCATTCGTGTAATACATATAGAGAAGCACAGGGGAGCAGATTGTGGTTCAGCAAGAGTGCCTTCTGAAACTCTGTCTCTTGCTTCTCCATTTTGTAAGGACCAAGAAGCTGATAATTGATGTGATCCGGAACCAGCCAGGGAACACATTGCCAGAAATCTTGGAGACACCAGCAACGACACAACAGGTAATTGGCCTTTTGAGTGTAAGATAATAAGTACCGTCTATGTGAGTTGACTTTCTTAACCTTCATGTCCGGTGTTTACTGTTGCCACAAAGACAGTGTAACTGACATGGTTTGAAAGTGAAGAAGTTTCTGTATTACTCTGGCAGCGGAGTTCAGTCATAAATGTAAACTCCTTGGAATGGGAATGAAATATAAAATGCAGCACCAAATGGATGTTGAGTGTAATTTTGTCCTTGACTAGGAAGATAATTCTAGGTCTTTGAAAGCCTCTGAATGTTCACTGTAAACCTTATCAGACAGTGGATAAAGATAGTTCTGGTCAGTAGGATGGAGAAAAATACCTGTCATATCTTATGTATTTGCTCACTTGAAACGTGTCTCGCACATTAAAACCATTTTCCCAAATGCTTCAGAAGCGAATGTCCTGAGCACGTTAGGCCAGAGAACCGTCATCGCGCTGTAAGTGACTCAAAATTCTTAACAGTCGTGCATTAATGTTGTTATCAACATCTTCTAAAATGCATCGTCGTGTATTCAGTTCATTCTGACTTAAGCTAATTCACTCCTATGGCTTTTTAGAGAGTTGCCACTCTCTAAACAAAAGTTATCAAAATTATCTAATTAGGTACTTCTTAGCAGAGCTACTCATAATTTTCCTGAATCATTCTTTCTTTCCTTAAAGATTTATTTATTTGAGAGAGAGAGAGAGCGAGCATGTGAGTGGGGAGAGGGGCAGAGGAAGAGGGAGAGAGAGAATCCTCAGGCAGACTCCCTGCTGAGCACAGAGCCTGATACAGGGCTCGATCCCATGACCCTTTGATCATGACCTGAGCGGAAATCAAGAGTCGGATCCCCAGCTGACTGATCCACCCAGACACCCCATTCCTGAATAAATCGTCATTTAATCAGTTGCCAAGAAATGACTATTTTAATTCAAAAAATATATAGAATGAAACTTCAAGTTATCTGGGGTTTGTTAACGTGAGTATTGTTAAACAATGTAGGCAGAATATCCTACTGTCCTTATTGAACATTTAATTTTTCTCCAAATGTAGCATAGTCACAAGAATGCAGACTTCCAAGATCAACTACAGTCCTGCACCTCCTCACTGTTTAATTCTAGGCACTTAGAAGGGTTTCTCTGCCTCAGTTTCCTCAACTATAAAATGGGAATAATAATAGTGTTTAACTGACAGCAAAAACAAGTGATTTAAAACATGTTAAGTGAGTAGAATGATAACCAGCACTATTAGGTGTCTAATAATCTATTTAAGCCCTGCAGATACTATTGTTGACCACTGACCTGATAAACTATTCCCGTGTACGAGATATTGATCTACCTGTAATCTAATTATATCTGTATCCTTGGACTTTATATTGTGTCAGTCAGTTGTCTAATACAATGAAATGGAAAGATCACCAGTCTCCTTTTATTACTGATTTTGTTTTGTTTTGTTTTTATTCATTTGTTTTATTCATTATTCATTTTATTCATTGTTTTTATTCATTATTCATTCATTCATCTGTCCAAATTCATTTGTTCATTTACTAATCATTTATTTGGGAACTTGGGATGAACTAAAATATTCTTACTTCCTTTGGCTCAAAGACACCCTGCAGGTTTTTCAGAGTTGGTAGTTTGAGAATTATTCCTTTCCTAAAATAAAGGTCTCTGCCCTTGTGGCTTAACAATCTCCATAAATATGGCAGATGTGTGAGAGTTCAGTTGGGTTCTGGATGTTCACGGTGTTTGAATAGCTGTGTTTTAAGGAATAATGTAGTTTTAGTTCCCTCAGCTGAACTATCCAGGAATTGAAATCCTTCCACCCAGAGAATTATAAAATATCAGTTATCCACTATAATATGTTCATTACTAAGGTGATTTCTCATCTTAGCACTAAAGTAGCCATTGAGAATTTTGCTCGAAATAGGCCTGCCACCATTGCCATATTTCTCAAAAAGTTGAAATAATTTCTTCCCGAAGACCTATTCAAAATCCATGAAGAACATAGCTGATTCTGGCCTTTGGACTCTGATGTGAGGATTTCTTTTATTTATTTTATTTTATTTTATTTTGACATGAACTTGCCTGAACAGTTTATGAATTTGTGAGACTAGAGAACCAGAGAAAAGTCAGTATCTTGATATTCCCCTTTCAGGAGACAGATCATGCCAGAGATATGGTAAGCCGAGCAATTATAGATTCCCAGGCTCCAGAAGAAATGAAGCATAGTCAGTCTATGGTTGAAGATGCACAGCTACCCCTGGAGCAGAAGAAGAGGAAAATCCAGAGGAACCTCAGGACATTGGAACAAACTGGACACGTGTCATCCAAGAATAAATACCAAGACATTCTCAATGAGATTGCCAAGGTTTTTGGAAATAGTATTCTTACTTCTTCACTTAGCAGACATTTGTTAATCATTGGTCACATGCTAGGCACTCTCTCAGGTGACATAACAGACTCCTAGTTGTATTGCCATGGTCAATATTACAGATTATCAAAGGTTTCAAAGCCATTGATGACTTTTAATAGAGAAATATCAAAACTTCCCTGCGTCATTAGGACATTTGACGCACACCAGAAATAAATGCTTGGGAAATTTAATAGACAAATTTCATCTATACTTTGAAGCAATACCTACTAAGTTTGAGGATTTTTTTTTTAAGATTTTATTTTTTGAGTAATCTCTACACCCAACATGGAGCTCAAACCTATAACCCCGAGATCAAGTCACATGCTCTATCAAGTGGGCAAGCCAGGCATCCCAATACTTACTAGTTTTAGAAATGACATTTCAATGAGAGTTCTTTCTTGTTAGTTGTCATATAGCCCAGTTGCTCTTAGGATCTGCCACTGAGGTAGTAACTCACGTCCTTGAGAATGTCCTCTGAGCAGCTGAGCCTAAATGCAGTTAACATTTCAAGGGCACTTTCTGTTTTCTCAGCCTATATTTTCACAGTTGGGAAACTTCCTGAGAAAAGGATCTCAAATTAGTGTGAGGAAGCATCACAGGAAATGGATGAGATCTGTTTGCCAAGGATAAGGAAGTATATACTTGTGTCAAAACGATCTTTCCTTCTTTTTATCCAACTATGCAAATTAAAATGGGTCTGGATGTTAAAGGCAGTTAAGTGATCAGGACAGAAGTAAATGTTGTTACCTTCTTGGTGGAAAATCAACTTGGCTTCTTTCTTCCATGGAAATTTAGGGTCATTTAGAGCAGTAGATTTAGTATTCCTACCCTAAGTGACTCAGGGGAAGTCAGATTTCTTTCCATAGCTCTGGGGTGGAAAGTATTTCTCTTTGGGAATAATTAGTAGTGAAATTAATGCTTTTGCCTTTTAAAAAAAAAAAAAGGTTACCATGAAGGCATCCTCTAAAAGATTCTATTTATTGGAGAATTGTTATTTAAAGGTGTGTGCATGTCTATCTGGATTCCTAGGGGAATGTGTTTTGTTTTGTCCACATGAGGAAAATCATAGTAAACAAACACTGTTTTCTTAAATAAAACATTTTCATTTTCATGATTTACCAGTTAGAATTACAAATCAATCTTATGTCTTTAAGTTTAAATATAGCCTAGTTCCTATAGGTTGTGAACAGCTTGGACAACTTAATGTTCTCTGAACTCTCTTTAAATCGAAGGAATAGTTACCAGAGTAAAATTTTTCCAATCAGTCTTGAGAGCTCAGTTGTTTTTGCAAACTTTGAGAAATATTTTCCAGATAGAAAAGCTCCTTGGGGTTTTAGGAGGCTTTTTGTTTTATTTATTTATTTTTTTTTACTTATTTCTAAAATGAATGCATTGATTTATACATGTAAACCTTTCCAGGTAAAATATTCTTCTAAGTGGAATGTTGAACACATTTTGAAGAAATTTGTATCTCCTGGGACAGTCTTCTTTAGGCCCCTCTTAAAACACTATTTTTCTCAAATTAATTGTATGGTTATTCCAGAAATGCTTCTCTGTTTTTCCATCAAGGGAAAAATAAACCTTAGCAACTCTGTTAAAGTGAAATACAGACCCTTGCCAGTCTGGAGTATAAGCGAGGAAGGAGGGACACTTTAGTGTTCAGGGATTAAGGTCACTGAGGGAAGCTACAGGTTAATGGTCACAAATAGGGATTTAATAGTCCACATTCTTCTTGCCCCACATTGGCAATATCATAAAGTCAACTTCTTAAATCTCGTACCATAGCCTTGACTTGTTCTTTTAGGACATTCGAAATCAAAGAATACATCGTAAGCTTCGGAAAGCTGAGTTAGCCAAACTTCAGCAGACCCTGAAGGCACTTAATGAGAAGGCAGCATTTTATGAAGACCAGATTAATTATTATGACACCTACATAAAGACTTGTTTAGACAACTTAAAGAGAAGGTAAGTTAAAATCCTGTGTCTGTTTATGGTGTCCTAGTGTTTAGGGGTATCTGTTCTTCTATGATCCTGGACAGTTCAGCTTGGAAGCAAACTGCTTGCTTTATTTAATAGCCAAACACTAGAACCTCGGTTTTGTGATTTGCCTCTGTGATCTCAGAAGTCAGAAGTGCATTTCGGACCTTTTGAATTGCCCATTGGCATTGGGATTCAAGTAGCTCCGTCTGTTGTATTTTAAGCAAGGGACTTTAACACCTGCAGAAGCACTCTCCTTTCTCCTTTTGTCTGTTTTAGTCAAAGGTGCCTTTGAACACTGATAAAAATTAAAGCTACTCTTGTTTTTTGAATGTTTACAATAGACAATATTAAACTGTTAAATAACTCCTGGTATTTGCTAACAGTGGAAAGCAGCCTAATGATTTTTTTTAAGATTTTTAAAGATCTATTTATTTATTTATAAATAAATAAATAAAATATGTATTAAATAAATAAATAAATAAATAAAATATTTATTATTTTGAGAGAGAGGGAGCACAAGCAAGGGGAGGGGGAGAGGGAGAAGCAGACTTCCTGCCAAGCAGAGAGCCCAATGTGGGGCTTGATCCCAGGACCCTGGGACCTGAGCTGAAGGCAGACACTGAATGACTGAGCCACCCAGGCACCCACCCTAATGATTTAAAACTGCTTAGTGGGGCCCCTGGGTGGCTCAGTCGGTTAAGCATCTGACTTGATTTTGGCTCAGGTCATCATCTCAGGGTCTTGAGGTAGAGACCCCTGTGGGCTTTGTGTTCAGCAGGGAGTTTGCTTGAGATTCTCTTTCTCCTCTGCCCTCCTTTACTAACCACCACCCACCCCCGTACCTGCTCTCTCTTTCTCTCAAATTTTAAAAACCTTTAAAATTGCTTAGTGGTTTTAAAAAAATATTATTGACATAAAAGACAAAATTTGGCAGTTTCCCATTACCCATTAGCATACATATTGCAGATTTTTTATACACGACGTAGCCACTTTTAATGAGTATTCTTTGCTCATAATTGTTCTTACTCCTAGACTAAGGTCAATACTAATCGAATTTTAATTACCCTTTTAAATATGTAATGCAATATTTTCATGTAATCCATATAGTCAAATTGACAGTAGGAAATGGTGCTGTACAGAAGAATCAATTGCATTAATCATAGAAGATTTGATGAAGGGAGATAAGCGAATTAAACCCCATCTATTTGGGCCCCACTGGCTCTGAATTTTAATTCATTTGCTTGCAGCCTGTACATTACTTTTGCTCTGTTCCTGGAAAGAAGGTGTTGATCAACCTAATAATACCCAGTAGAAATAAGATTGTTAGGATTTTTTGTTTGTTTTTGTACTTTGTTTTTTGTTTTTTTCATATTTATTGCAACTACTTGAAGGCATTTTTACAAGGTCTGCAGTTAGGGGAGCTAGATTTGCATTCTAATTTACTCTTATATTATGTGATCTGTGCCCTAGCCCAGTGAACTTCTCTCGAACTTCAATTTTCTCATCTTTAAGGTGGCAGGAGGAGGACTAGCCTCACAAGCATTGTTAGGAGAGGTAAATGAAACCATAAGAAAGGAATCTGTTTATTTCAAAGCCCTATGGAAATGTCAATTTTGCAAATGTGGGGATTATTCATAAAGTACTTAGAACATTGCTGGCCACATAGTATTTATTAAAGAAACTAAAGAAATCTTAGTAATACCTTTACTTAAGAGTATGCAGTTGAGATTAATGAACCAAAGCTGCTTGCAGAATGACTTAATATAGCCATGTAGTTCAACATGCCTGAAAAAATAGAGGGCAAGTTTTATGAAAAATGTTAGTCTATCATTCAAACTTCAGTCACTTTAAAAATAGCTTCCTCTTAGATTTCAGTAGTGAGGTTTTAAGGTCTAGGGAAAATTGTCACCTCCTATTGCAAAATAGAAAGTTTCATATTCAGGGCAGTGAGGCCCAGTAGGAACTGTGGTGGGCACCCCAGCATGCTTACTGCACCCCTAGAAGCCTCTGACTTTACCATCATGATAACACAGTTTATTCTTATTTTGTCAGAAATTCTCGAAGATCAATTAAACTAGATGGGAAAGGAGAACCCAAAGGGGCGAAGAGATCTAAGCCGGTGAGGTACACGGCAGCAAAGCTGCATGAGAAGGGTGTCCTCCTGGGGATAGATGACCTTCAGACAAACCAGTGAGTATGACCCAGAATCTACACCCAACACAAGTGCCCTTTAATCATGCCCATAAAGTCTGACTCTCTTCTGTTTGGCTTCCTGTGGCCTTTGAAGAGAGCTTCATTTGGTCTATCAAGGCTTACCCCCAATTACAGATGATGGGGAAATACACGTGTTGTAATCTCTAGTCTTCCCATCAGACCCCAAGCATCTGGTGCTATGGATTGTAGGAAGTGCCCAGGTGGTCACTGGGTTTCCCATGGCTGGTCCAGTGCGTTTGGATTTGCCAGCCTCCCCTTTCCCACCAAAAGAACTGAATCATATCAGTGAGAATGAAAAGCTGTCTTTTGGTCTAGAATGATAAGGATTATTTACAAGGGCAAGATAGTACCATTCTCATTTCAAAGCCACAAGCTGTGTGCCAACACATGGGTCAGAGCCATGCGGTATGCTGTTGGGGTGTGCATTTGACCTAGAGGGGAAAATGGAAACCCTCCTCTGTAGCCCTGTACCACGTTCCAGTGGATTCTCTATGTTACAGGGACCATGAGTCTTGTGCCCCATCGCTGCTGGGGCGGGGGTAAGCCAGACTCCCCATGTGTGCTGCTTTCTGGCTCCGGCCTTCTCTGCAGACCTGGCCTCTACTCCATTCATCCCTGCAAAAATTCTCCCAAATACACCCACTCAGAGAACATGCTTCATCTGTTTATGTTCTTTAAGAACAGGGCCATATTTTAATAGCATTTCTTTTGTAATAAAGGACCTACTTCAATGCTCTTCGCTACAGTCCCAACAAGAGCCATCAAACCTAGTTTCAGTGAGCAGAGTGGGAAGGGGGATGTTGGGAGGTTTCTGAGACTTCCTTAGAATTTTCACAGTGGACCTCGCACTAAGCATGGAAACTAAGGATTCCGCTAACTTGTGTCAGCTTTACATATAAATTTGCAGTTCCGCACGTGTAAGTGTCCCTTTCTTCACTAGGTTTAAAAATGTTACATTTGATATCATATCTACTGAAGATGTGGGCATCTTTGATGTCAGATCAAAATTCCTTGGTGTTGAGATGGAAAAGGTACAGCTCAATATTCAGGTAAGCTGGGATTTCTGCAAAGTGGGGGGGTGAGTTTTATAATGTGGGTCATTTATTGCCTCCCCTGGCTTATGACCTTCATAACAGTGAGGTTCACCAGAAGACCCCTGGAAGAATTTTTTGCCAATATTAGCTTTTTAAGCATTGATGATTTTTTAAATCTCTGATTTTTCAAAATATTGGAACCTAAAATGCTTTTAGATGGCAAACCATAGTGGCCAGTGTTTCTAAGGCATGTTTCCATTTTTTGAAACTTAAAGCATAACCATGGTATAAAAGTATTGAGAGCTGTTAAGGCTGGAAAGTTTTCTTTTATTAGAAACTTGATTTTTTCCAAGACTACATAGGCCCAGTATTAGAACTTTCCTGACCTCATTTCTCCTTCTTAGGATCACTTTTACATTAGTGTGTTAAATCAATTAAATGCTTAGGGGACACTTGGGTGGCTCAGTCTGTTGAGCATCCAACTCTTGGTTTTGGCTCAGGTCCTAACCTCGCGGTCGGTCATGGGATAGAACTCAGCACTAAGTTTGCTTCAGATTCTCTCTTCCTCTCCCTCCTGCTCGCATGCTCTCTCTCTCCCTTTCAAATTAATCCAAAATAAATAAATTAAATAAATAATATCTTAAATAAATACATACATAAAATCTTTTTAGGGGCACCTGGGTGACTCAGTGGGTTAAGCCTCTGCCTTCAGCATAGGTCATGATCTCAGGGTCCTGGGATTGAGTCCCCCACCAGGCTCTCTGCTCAGCAGGGAGCCTGCTTTCCTCTCTGTCTGCCTCTCTGCCTACTTGTGATCTCTCTCTCTGTCAAATAAATAAATAAAATATTTTAAATAAATAAATATAAATAAAAAATAAAATCTTTTTAAAAATTATCTCCCCCACCTCCCATATGCCTACTCTCTCTCTCCTTCTCTTTCTCTCTCACTCTCTGAAATAAATGTCTTTTTTAAAATATCTGTTAAATGTTTAGGATGATAAGAATGAAAGACATCGTGCAAGATAGTTATCTATAAGTAGACACATGGTGTCTGCAGTCTGAATTATTGCCTTTTTCTCAGAAGAACCACATTTAAGCTAAATACACTTGGAACAGAAACTGTGACCGACATCCAGTTTCCGTGTCCAAAAACCACAACAACAACAGAAAATAAAAGGAGTGTGCAACCAAATGTTTATTTCCTCCCAACCTCTTCTTAATCCCTAGTATAGGATCGGTTAAAAGAAGTATTTGAGGGGCCCCTGTGTAGCTCAGTCAGTTAAGCAGCTGCCTTGGTCTTAGGTCATGATCCCAGGGATTGAGCCCCAGTCGGGCTCCCTGCTCAGTGGGAGAGTCTGCTGCTCCCTCTCTTTCCCCACTTGTGTGCTCTCTCACTGTCTCTGCCTTGCTCTGTCAAATAAATAAATAAAATCTTTTAAAAGGAAGGAGAATAAGAAGTATTTGAGTTTTTCTTTTTCACATTAAGAGATTTTAAATGGAAATAACACCTAAATACCTGGGTCCCAAATTAATGGTAAAGTGGATCCCAGGTATTCTGTATGTATCTACACAAACCATCTTGACAAACCACTGCAGGTGGCAAGTTCTAGCCTCACGGCCTGCGGAGCCAGTAGCCGAGAGCCCTGAATGACTCCCCCACTCCTAGGAGCAGATGCCAATCCCTTCTTTTCTGTCTACCATTCCTTGTAGCTTAAAGAGAAAATTAGGGGGCACCTGGGTGGCTCAGTGGGTAAAAGCCTCTACCTTCAGCTCAGATCATGATCTCAGGGTCCTGGAATCAAGCCCCACATGGCGGGGTGCGGCGGGGAGCCTCTGCTCAGCAGGGAGCCTGCTTCCCTCTCTCTCTCTGCCTGCCTGCCTGCCTACTTGTGATCGCTTTCTGTCAAATAAATAAAATTTAAAAAAAAAAGAGAGAGAAATTGGAACTAAGTATGATAAAGCCATTTAAATAATGGAGTAAATTAGAGTCTAGAGGGAAAATGAAAGATAATGTGCAATTATGAAAAATGTACATAAGGAAACAGTATTGTTTTCTACTTTTTTTTAAATGTCACTAAATGGGGGCACCTGGGTGGCTCAGTGGGTTAAGTCTCTGCCTTCAGCTCAGGTCATGATCTCAGGGTCCTGAGATGGAGTCCCGCATCGGGCTCTCTGCTCCGCAGGGAGCCTGCTTCCTCCTCTCTCTCTCTGCTTGCCTCTCTGCCTACTTGTGATCTCTCTCTGTCAAATAAATAAAATCTTTAAAAAAAAAATTTTTTTAAAGTCACTAAATGTATCCATCTAACAATTTCACTAAAAAGCTTAAGTTACCCTAGATACCACTTAGATAAATATGGAAAGAGAAAAGAATGTGCTCCAAAGTGAATTTTCTTGGTTAGTCATTCTTCTCTAGGCAAAGACCTATCATGTGTTTGACAAGAAAGAAATGATCCAAGGCCAAGCAACATCAACTGGACAGATGAATTCCAAGTGACTAGGAGACACCTGTTCAGAGAGGCCTCATGGGAATTCCTTGGAACAGTGGTGCAAATGCCAAGCTTCATTTGTTCCTTTGTTAAGGATTCAGTGTGCAAGATTAACTATCCATGCCATTCATCTATACACATAATTGATTGTGAAATGTTACTCCTTAGCTGCATACAGGTGGCTGTTATGGCCCAGATTTTTAAAGTCTTTAACATATCACGAGGGCTAGCAACATAATTTGTAGAGCTTGATGCAAAATGAAAATGGACAGCCCCTTATTCAGAATTACTGAGAATTTCAAATTAGTAAGAGCAGAGCATTAAACTAAGTGCAGGGCACTACTAATCATGGGACCCTGCAGAGGTTAATTGTCCCAGCAGCCAGCCCTTCATCTAACAGCTAATAAAATAAGACTTCTGTTTATACATAAAGCCTTCAGACAATTATATTATCACATGAATTACCAAAGAGGACATGATGGCCAGGTCTTCAGTGTGAGACAAGGACTGGCAACAGGACAGAAATTTATGAGAGAATTCAGAGAAATCACTTCTAACATTGTTTCTAGATCCTCTTCTCCCTTCATTTCCCAAAGATGATCTCCTAATTAAATCCCGTAGGTATTGGCAGTATACCTAACAGGGGGGGTGTGACTTAAGTGAAGATGTTCTCCTTGCACATTCTCCGTGCACACATAATGGCCAGTGTTCATCAAGGGCTCCAAGGTTGACTGTCTTCCTTTCCCAGATGAAGAACTGAGGTTCAGAGAGAGCTCATTATACAAGAGGCAGCTGGAGTCCCAAGTTCTCATCACTTGGTTCCATTGCTCCTCTCACAAGACTCCAGTTAATCCTGACAAGGCATGGGTGGCGTACAAAGAGCTTATAGACCTTGATCTCCTATTCCCCAGCAGCAGCCCTGTGAAGTTGGCAGTGTTCTCCCAATTTACACACAAAAAACACAGAACTTCAGAGAGATTGTGTGAAGTTGCAAGGTCATAAAATAGGAAATGGTGAGGTTAAGTCTCAAATCAGATCTTCTATTCACAAGTTTGGTCATCTTCTTTGCTCTCCACCTTGGTGGCCCATCTGATTCCCCTGCAGACATGCACATGTGTCTCTCATCTTGTGTACAGTTGGAGGTCATTGAAGAGGTAGAAGAGGCAACTAAGAACAGCCAAAGTTCTCTCAAAGGTGATTCCAACTTCTGTAGGGAGACTTGTTTAATGTAGGTAAAGCCGTTATCATTAAGAACCAAGAAGTTTGCGGCGCCTGGGTGGCTCAATGGGTTAAGCTTCTGCCTTTCGCTCAGGTTGTGGTCTCAGGGTCCTGGGATCAAGCCCCGCATTGGGCTCTCTGCTCAGCTGGGAGCCTGCTTCCCTCTCTCTCTGCCTGCCTCTCTGCCTACTTGTGATCTCTCTCTCTGTCAAATAAATAAATAATAAAAATCTTAAAAAAAAAAAAAGCCAAGAAGTTTCCAGAGCTAGGAACAAGAAAATGAGGTCTGGGTACTTGGCTGTGACAGCTCAAGAATGATATCTTATATTTGGGAAAGACCCCCTCTCCTGTGGTATTATGAGACATCACTGCTTATCTCATGCATATGCATCAGACCAGTTTCTGATTTTAGCAAGAGTTGATTTCCTTTGTTTATATGGTGGCAGTGCAACACAGAACAATAGACCTGACTTGAGAGGGTAAGGACTTGTTCTCAATACAGGAGCAGAAGTAGCCTAGATCAGGAAGGACTTGCTTTATACAGGGTTCCCCAAATTTCTATCCTAGAACTTCACTACATAACATGATCATTTATCCCCATTTGCACATACTTACTTGTAAAGTCTACACGCTACTATATATTACTATACTCCAAATATACCTTATAAAATACATACACAAAATCTAGATGTTTAAAGAATGAGAAAAAATAAGAATAAATAGAAGTTCTCATATTCTTTTTGCTCCTCAAGGAATCTCCTTGCTTGCTCCACTTTAGAAAACACCATTGTTCTAAAGGATATACTCCGTCTTGCTTGAATATTTGAATTTTGAGTTTTTCAATTAAAACGTATTATATATATGCATAAATATATATATGTATAAATACATATCTGATATTAATTGGAGGTGGTTTTCTGTTATACAGTGCTTATCAATTCTAAAAATCTATCTTCTTCCATTTAGGTAAGTGATTCTCAAAGTATGGCACTCAGACCAACAATGGCATCATCACATGGGAGCTTGTTAAAATGCATATACTTGGGCCTCACCCCAGAGCTACAAAGTCAAAACGTCTGGTGGGTGGGGACCAATAATCTGTGTTGTAACTAGCTTGTGCTTTTAACTGAATGATTTTGATGCATACTCCATAGTTAGGTCAACTGAATCTTATTTTTGTCCCCAGATTCTTCTAGAATTTTTTTAAATGTGCAAAATGTCAAATTTGAGATTTAATGATGATCTTCACAATTTCAGGATTTACTTCAGATGCAGTATGAAGGAGTAGCTGTAATGAAAATGTTTGATAAGGTTAAAGTCAATGTGAACCTTCTCATATACCTGCTGAACAAGAAATTCTACGGAAAGTGAAGTGCCTACAGAAACTTCATGGAATCCGTATCATCTGGATTAAGAAATGAATCTGTTTAATATTTTTGTGGTTAAACATGATTGAAATCACTGCTTATAAATGTGTGATTTTTGAAAAAAAACAAAAAAGACCAAAACTGTTCTGAAGAATGTACCCATGTGCCTTTTTGATAATTTGATACTATGGTAGAATAATCCAAAAAGATGAATTAATGTAAACACTTCCACATTATACTGTGGTCTAGGTACTCTGATTTAAAACTTTGGACATTCCATGATTGGTTTTAAAGTAGGGAGAAAATAAGTTTAGTTGACTAGAGACAAATCTGTAAACCTATTTTCCTATGAAAAAAATTTTAAATGTCCCATTTGAATAATGTAATTCTTCCTGGGTTTGTTTTTGGGTTTTTGTTTTGTTGTTTTTTTGTTTGTTTGTTTGTTTGTTTGGGTCTGTGGAGAAATGGAGACCTAATTATTTGTAATGAATTATTTACACAGATTCTTAGGTCTAAGCCCTACCTTCTGGGAGTTACCAATTTTAAAGAAGTTTTGTGCAATTCAAAATGAAGTTTTTATAAGTAATTGAAAGTGATAATACAATAATACTTTCTGTATAAAAGTATATATTTTATGTGATTTATTCCTACTAAATGAAGTGCACTACTGCCTCATAGTAAAGACTCTTGTTCCCAGAGCCTTTAAGTGACTAAGGAACACCACGGTAGCGATCTTAAGCCCCACGTCAACCTCTCACAGTTTATTTGAATACTTCAATTGGGCCTCTCAACTTTTTGTAATGCAATAAAATCAGTATCTAGATGGTTTTTAAATGTATTCTTTGAAAATTGTTTTATGTAAAATAAATGTTACTGAATTATGTAAATTTGGCTTTTTAGTGGTCTTCATCTAAATCTATTGAGTGGGTAGAAGGTTCTCGGGCTTATCAGGAAAAGAAACAACATGCCTATAGCTGTACTTGGTAAGGTGCAGAGTAAGCTGCTGTGACCAAGAGATCCAAAGGCCTGTGGGTGGAACAAGAGAGAAGTTTGTTATTGTCCAGCAGTTCAAAGGTAAGTGAGCAGGCCCACAAGGTTATCTAGAGCCCAAGCTGGCCATTTGGCTCTGTCCTTATCACTGATTCCCAGCCACAGAAAAGGGAAAGAAGTCCAGGGCCTGCGTGTGTCACTTCTGCTTACATCCGATTGGCCAAAACTTAGTCATGCTCCACATGCTTCAACAGAGGCTGGGAAATGAGTGCCCCAGCCAGGTACCCCATGAAATGCTGAGGTGAGAGGAGGGTGCTATTACTGAAAGAGTGATGGCTGGAGACAGGTTAGCTCTCTCCATGACAACAATAATCCAGACTCTCAGGATGGAATTTGGTATTCTGTTCATTCGTTCTACAGGCTGTATTTTCCACAGGGTTTACAAAGCATTGAGAAAGTGTGACTTATGCACGTTTTACACAAATGAACTTTAAGTGTGAGGCCAACAGAATTTGGAAAGTTCAACTTTTTTAAAAGTAGAATCTGCCCCATTAGTGACCATTTCCAGCTGTATGTATTTTCAACAGAGCGAAAATGCTCTTTGTCAAAACAGTGCTCACTGTCTTAACAGTGAGTAGATGTTGGGGGCGGGGGTTGGCGGCGTGTTAATGCAGTAAACCTTAACACAGACCTGCATACCTAAAGGAATCAAATAAACATATGCTTGCATAGGTGTCATCTTTTGAATAAACCTTGTCCTCCCCTGCAGCTTCATTACATGAGAAACAGGAGCCAGGGACGGTAGAAGCTAGGTTAGACTTCCTCCCTTGCGATCCAGGAAAGATTGTTAATGGAAATATGTCAGAGGAGCCTAAATTAAGGAAAAATTGCTGGGAGGCAAAAGTTAATGTTTCATAGTATATTTGAAGGGAGTTTGTTTCATTACAACACTAAGCATTATGCTTGAATATTATCTGGATTAGTATAGACCTTTGTATCCTGCCAGTACCCTCAAGGAAAGAGGTGAATGTTTTCTCTCCATTGGCCCACAGCATAAGGCTATTTTTGAAGACACTACCAATGGCTACTTGAGATTGTTGAGGCACATGAACAAAGGAATAACTGAGAAGGAGAACTGGGATGAAGAAAAGGAGTGAACACGAAGAAGCCAATGGAGGTATGGACGTAGGGATGGTTGCAGCCAAGGCCCAGGGTCCTCCCAGAAGGACTGAACCCCAAGCCAGAAACAGTTGTACCATATAATCCTGAGCCACTAAAGACTCTTAACCATTGTAGAAGAGGAAAAATAATTTTCCCTCCCTCCTCCTGCGTTTGTGGCTGAGACACACTGTAATAAAAAAAAATACCAAGACAAAAACAAATGCAAGTTTAAAATGCATGCCTCATGTATACATAGGAAATACCCAAGAAAACTGAGAAAAACTCCTTGAAATAGCCCAAGCCCTCACCTTACTACCTTCAGCTAAAGACAAAAGAAGGATATCGGGGGCACGGAGGGGGGGTAATTGATTGGGTGGGGTAGGGGGAGAGACAGTGTTGCACTTCAGGGGAAGGTGAGAAGAGGAAAAGTTTGGTGAGATTGACCTTGCCTGGAAGATAAGCCAGGTGAATAAGTGATGTCCAGCAGTAACTCTCTTCCTGGTACAACCTCCCTTTCTAATGTAAATTTTCTTCATAAATGTAAATTGCCGTTACAGAAGGATAACTTTTATTTTCAGAACTTCTCTTGTGTCAGCAGTTTCACGAAATAATCACTTCAAAATAAACCCTGTGCCAAAGAGGCCTATTTTGGAGTGGAACATTCTTTGAAGTCAGCCTTCTCCCCAGAGCTCATCTTTCCCTACTCTGTGAGAATAACTTTTTTTTTTTTTTTTTTTTTGCTTTTGAAACACTTAGCCACTGAAACTGTAACTTGATTAAGTCTAAAGCTGGTTCCTTGATTTTGATGTATGTCCAGCCATGTTTCCAATATTACAAAAATGGTCTTTGGTTGGAAGATTGAGAGTTCGTGTTCTCGTGAACTCCACTTTTTAGCACCGAGACATGAAAAAGGGCTTAAGCTGCATTCTAGCTACTCTCAAAGGATGTGTTCTAGTAATCTCCAAGAGGGAAAACTTGAGCCTATTTTAATATTCTGGAAGTTTGTGGTGAAATAGAGACCAACGCAATATGACCATTGTCTGACAAAGTCACTGAAAGATCAGAATCGTAACATGTGTGTTAGTGTGTGTGGGTGGTGGAGCCCTAATTAGAGGTGCTATTCATGACGTGATTTTTAAGACTTTGGCTGTGGTTAAGCAGGGATTTGTGGTACTCCTCAAACATTCTAAGAGGTGAACCACGGAACTCTGAATGTTGATAGTTGATTGTATTTTAAGAGATTCTGGGGAACATTGGATCCTATACAGCTGATCAGCTTTTGAAAACCTGTTACCTCTGTTACTGAAACCAGCATTTGGCTAACAGGTAAGATAGAGCCCCTGAAAGTCATCCTCTAAGCTCCAAAGGACAGAGAGTGAGTGTTTCAGCCACTGCTGTAAGTCCAGAGCCTGGCAGTGCCTTGTAAATGGCACAGAGGTGGGGGATAAAAGGCTGCATCCATGTTGGGTTAAGAAGGAGTCAGACCCCACCACCCCCTGTCCCTCAGGAGTCAAAGGCTTGCTTCAGCCTGACCCTTGTATGAGGGCAGCACTGAGTGATTATCTCGTTCTCATAGGGGAGGCAATCTCCATTCAGTGTCCAAATAAAATAGCTCATACAGATGCCTCCTTGATAAAACGTGATTTCTGGATGTGTCCATGAGAGTGTTTCCAGAAGCGATTAACGCTTGAATGTGTGGACTGAGTAAAGAAAGATCCCTTCACCCCTGTAGGCAGGCATCATCTAATCTGTTTGGAACTCAAATACAAAAGGGCACAAGAAGGCAAATTCTCTCCCCTTTCCTCTCCCCCTCCCCTTGAGCTGAGACTTGTACCATTAGCTTCCAAGAGGAAATTACTAAGGAAGTTCTTGGAATATATTGTCATCTTTGGAGGCTTCAAACACCACACTGGGTGTAGAGATTACTTTCTAAAAAATGAAAATCTTTGGGGGCACCAGGGTGGCTCAGTCAGTTGGGCATCTGCCTTCGGCTCAAGTCATGATCCTGGGGTCCTGGGATAGAGCCCTGGGTTGGGCTCCCTGCTTAGAAGGGACCCTACTTCTGCCTTTGCCCCTTCTCCCACCTCGTGCTTCCTCTTTCTCCCTCCCTCTCTCTCTCTCTCTCTCTCTCTCAAATAAAATCTTTAAAAATAAATAAAAACAAAAATATTTTAAAAAGGAAAAAAAAAGCAAAAAATACACTATGTTGGGTGAAATAAATTGGACAAAACTTCAGATAAAATTGCATTAGAAGGGGGTGCCTGGATGCCCCAGTGGATTAAAGCCTCTGCCTTTGGCTCAGGTCATGATCCCAGGATCCTGGGATTGAGCCCCGCATTGGGCTCTCTGCTCGGTGGGGAGCCTGCTTCCTCCTCTCTCTCTGCCTGTCTTTCTGCCTACTTGTGATCTCTGTCAAATAAATAAATAAAATCTTAAAAACAAAGTGCTCTAAAAAAATTGCATTAGAAGAATAAAATGCTGTATATACATACAAAAGTATACCATAAAAAGTTTAAAAACAATTACATATATGTATACCAATCAGGTAAATCTAGAAAAATGAAAACTACGGAAGTATTCCTAGAGTATGTTACTCTGTAGATATTTAGAACATACAAAGTAATACTAATTTTTTTTAAATAAATATAAAAGTACAAAAACATGAATAAGAAAGTTACTATTCTGGGCAGGAAAAATGAAATCAGAAAAGGGTATCAAAAAGCTTAACCAAGAAAAGATAAATATATATTTACATATATTTGCTAATGCCAGATTGTAGGCCCATGGGTGTGATATTAGGCTCTGTATTTTTCTATATGCTTGAAATGTTGTGTAATTGAAAGACGGTCACATGGGCACCTGGGCGGCTCAGTGGGTTAAAGCCTCTGCCTTCGGCTCAGGTCATGATTCCAGAGTCCTAGGACCGAGCCCCACATCAGTCTCTCTGCTCAGCGGGGAGCCTGCTT